CAGTATGGACCCCCCTGGACCATGTTGCGTTGCTCCAGATTGCTCTCCTCCAGCAAGACCTGATTCAAAGAGATGTGGATAGGACCCAGGAGATTCCAGACCATGGCTGACAGAGGAAAGGAGGATTCTGTATGGACATTACACAAGGCTGCATGCATGGACAAGATCAAGCGCAGAGTGGAGGACACTCAGGACACGCAGTCTTTCTTCAACTATCTTAGTTTGGAACCTGCCATGTTTGGTGAGTTGGTGCAGAGAGTGGGGCCAAGAATACAGGAGCAGGATACATATATGAGAAAGGCGATACCTCCAGGCTTGAGGCTAGCCATCACATTGAGGTTCCTGTCTTCAGGTGATAGGTACCCCCAGCATCATGTACAGGAACACAATCATCCTGATCATCCCAGAAGTATGTAAGGCCATTGTGGAGGAATACAAGAAGAAGAATGGGCACCCATTGAAGAGGTATTCAGAAACAGGTTGAATATTCCTCATGCCGTAGGAGCTTTAGATGGCAGGAAACCTGCCAAGAGCAGCTCATTATACCACAACTACAAGGGCCTCTTCTCTATGGTACTCAAGGGCCCTTGTGGATGGAAGTAACGAGTACCTGTGGGTGGACGTTGGTGCTTACGGAAGTATGTCTGATGCTCAGATCATCAACGAGTGCGAGCTCAAGGATTATCTTGAAGATGGGAGCATAGGATTCCCTGACTCGTTCCCCTTACACCAAAATGAATAGCGTATGCCATGCTTTATTCTGGAAGGTGATGCCTTTGGAATAAGGACCTTCTTTGATGAAAACGTATGATCAGAGGACGAGAGACGAGAGAATCTACAACTACAGGATCAGCAGGGGCCGACGGGTTGTGGAAAATGCATTTGGAATCATGGCGCAGAGATGGCAAATCCTCTTCATCATCATGCTGCCAAGGTCGTCCGTTGTGAAGGACATCATTGAATGATGTGTCTGCCTGCACAACTTGATGAGGATTCGTTATCCTAATTTCCACAATGGCATGGTGGATGAGGAGGATGAGCAGCACAACGTGGTGGCAAGAGGCTGGAGACAACTTGCGCAGCTTGAAGATGTTTCAGGAGGAACCAGAGACACCCAGGCTGGAAAGAAGCACCGGGAGATCCTCAAGCATTACTTCAACAACCCAGTTGGAGCCGTGCCCTGGCAGAACAGGATGATTGATGGATAAGTGAAATATGGACATTCGATTTGCTGACATTTTATTATTGATAAGGTTTCTTATAAAAATATAAGACATATTAATGTGTTGTGATATTACCGGTCAATTTGTGTCCTCTGAGTTCTCTACGTTCAATTAAATGTACTTCCCATTTTACACTAGTTGAATGACTGTCCTTCGCGGGTGTTTTGGGGTGGGTTTTTTGTGTTTTTGCTTCAATTAAAAACAATGATATCAATATTTTACCGCTACGTTTTTATGCGATTAGGCGGTGTTCTGGTGACGTCAGGGCTCATTTGAAGAGCATTCGGGACGTTCTGACTGTATTCGAGGTGCATTCGATGTACATTCGAGTTGTCATCCAATTGCAATCGAAATATTCCGATACGTTTGAAGAATATTCCACCTAAATTCCAACAGCAATCGAAGTACATTCGAGTTGCATTCGGGACATTCTTACAGGATTTGAAGTGGCTTGCTTTTTCTATTCTCCCTCGAATACGTTCAAAATACTTAGAATGCACTTAGAATGCAGTAAGAATACTTAGAATGCACTTCAAATGCTGTTCGATATATTTTCACTCCGAAAGTACCTCGAAAGTTTTGAACATGTTCAAAACATTCGGGTATGTTACAAGAATTGGCACGAATAGTTGGAGTGAAGTTTTAGAATGCAGCTGGAATTTCCAGGAATCTCCAGGAATTTTCATTCCGACAGCATTCCGGCTCGTTCCGCCTCAAGTGTGAAGGGGGTATTACTCAGCCTGCCCCACACGCAAATGGACAGGGCGGGGTCTTAAAGAATGGACAACTGGGTGTTGCCAATGGTCGACTCAACCACAAGAACACAAAGCCCGCATTACTCGTTAGCCTTGTCACTGAGAACGTCTCTTTGAGTTGTACGAACCCCGCTTGCCTATCACTTACTGTTAGGTTCAATGTTTTATGAACGACATATCAGACTATGATATCTTGTCGTGTTCGGATGATTCATGGCATGTCGACCCGTGAAGATCCGGGTTAGAATTGATCTTCAGTAACCCATGCTTGTCGTGCGCGACTAACGGGATCGGGTGGTCAGGCTCACTGACTTGGTTGGCAAGTGTCATCGGTTCCCATTTGCGTAGATCGATGCTGATGCTCTTGATCACTTGATTGTCTGGTCCATACTCGATTATTTACCCACCACCGCCATATAGCTGGAATATTGCTGAGTGAGGCTTAAAACTAAACTCACTCACTCACTCGTGACCTGTAACGGGTGTCATTATCGGTTGTTTCCAAAATAAAGAGGAGCACTTTACAGGATGGTCAGCGGTCGAGAAGGAATACGTCATTTTGCAAATTCACGTCAGTTTCTAAAGGACATAAGTGACCCTAAATTCTGTAAGAACAATCATTTAAAAAGAGCAAAATTGTAATTTTTGAACTCTACAAACAACTAAGAAACGTTATATTGTATGTATGTATTGTGAACCGTTATATTGTATTATGTATTGTGAACTTAACTAACTTGACAAATCAATGCATATGACTGGCAATAGACGGCACAAGAAATTTCACAGTAGAGGGACAATAAAAATTTCAAAGGTAGTACAATTCTACAGTGGATGTATAGAATAAATAAAATAGCGGTGGAAATGTCAGCAAAATCGGTGCTAACAATATTCAGCTGGTAGCGGAAGTAGCCACGCTTCCAAAACAGGCCTTGGTTGTATATCCAGAGTGAAAATGTCTTCACGTAACGCGGGATCATGGATACCCCGAGAGACGTGTTATGCTTAGACGTGTTTGAAACCTATGATCGTGTGTTCGAATCCCAGATTTGACGTGATTCTGGTTCTTGGATTATCAACACCATATTTTAGGTCTCACCAATGTGGAAAATGTTGAAAACCTGCGTCACTTCGGGGTTTTCTCTTAACTCAAGCTGACATGCCATGACATAACTGAAATACAGCGCAGAGCGGCGTTAAACTCACCCACCTTGTGTAGGTTAATCAACATGTAATGTAGTGTCTCAGGTGTGCGTGGTGTCACCTGACACCGATGGTGTGTGTGGTGTCACCTGACACCGATGGTGTGCGCATACAGGTACAGCAGCAGGCTGGGACAACATCTGACTTGATAACGTGGCCATCGGTATCGGGGTCATCAGCCAGACGTTCTGTAGCTGACCCAGAACAGTGTACTACCATCCCTGATGTAGTCGGTGGAAGACATTATCCTACACCAAAGGGGCACATCACCGTTAGAAACCCTAATTCCATAACAACTACTGTATCTGTCAACAGCTAGCGGAGAAATACATTTATTACTTATATTTAATCTTTTGCAATATCATGCTAGGCCTTTATGCATGGGTATCTCAACTGTTAACAAACACGCACATGTATGTGAGCGTATGCATGTACGTAAAAGGCACACACATTTTGGATTTCCCACTTACATTTATGAATTTTCATTTCGAATTTGCATTAAAAGTCTTCATGTTATAATATACATCGTGAAAAGACAGGTGGGGTCATCTGGTCAACTGCCATTTTAAGTGGTAAATATACCAAACGTTCGACAATGCATAGCATTATGTATAACTAACTCGCCACAATATATCGATTCTTGTCTAAAATTAAATAGCGGGGTGATAGAATCGCCTGCAATGTGAAATCACAATCAGACAAAAATAGAGGGTTAATTCCTTGCATTCAGTGTGTGATGACATTTTCATAGACTTTACGTGAGGCTATTCGCCACTCCGTGATCTGATAACGCCCTCTGGCGCTGCACATGGAGTAATCTGATGGCGGGAAGTGTCTCGAACGTGTTGTTTCACGGAAAGATTTCCTTTGATGTGAATAATGAACCTGTCAGTTACACTTCCCGGAGACGATCTAATGATGTGATCGAAGCTGCAAAAGATTGATAAACGATGTCCAATATCTTCACTCCCTCGATCAAATGTGTTGGAAGATTTAATCAAAATGTGCTTTATTTCAAGGTTGTATACGACATATATACCCTCCCTGGTTATTTGAAGAATGTAATAAGTGAATTATAATATTTCCAGCTGCGAGATGAATCGTACATATTATATTTGTCTCAAGTGATTTTCAGAAATAAGCGAGAATACCATTCTTCATATTTATAATAATAAACAGAGTGAAAGGGGTAAAACAAAACACTTTGCCAGAAATCAGACTATCGTTTGTAAGAAATTTTCTACTCGTATGCACAACATTGACGTAAGTAGATTTGCACATGTATAGATTTATATTTGCACCTGTTACAGACCACATCAGGGGCGGATACAGCTTAGCACACTCTTGAGAAAGGGAGAATGCACACTTCATTTTCACCCGGTTTCATGGATCATTTAATAAACATTCAGGGAAAATAGGGTTGAGGGTGGTGCGCACCTCTGCAACACACACACACACACTGCAACACACACACACACACACACACACACACACACACACACCACCTCTGGATCCGCCTATGCACATGCAAATTTGCTCCTGGTGTAACTATACGCACATGAATAATGCTTGAAACCCAATTTGACACTGAAATAGTGTTGAATCTTTTGAATCTTTTACTGGCGTGTGAACAGTGAATTGGTTCAAATTTATGTGTTTTGTCACTGTTTTGATATTTATAAGTCTTCAATAATAGCAAAAACAATTTAAAGAATGGTAACATGCCCGAAGCACTCTTGGCAGGAACGCCTGGTCTAGTGGTATGGAAATAATGCCAGACGCTTAAGTTACCTCCCTTAGTTTCCAGACGGCCAACAGCTGGCGCGCACATCAAAGGGTTTGGAGGATTGCCGATTGACACATTATTCAGAAAGTTATTGTCAAAATGGCCGGGGTGGTCTTAGAAAACTTGAGCAATCGAAAACTTTCGATACTTGGAGTGACGCTTTTGTTGGTCCTTGTGGGATTTTTCCTGATCGGAGGAATTATAGGTAATGTGTAGATTGATGCGCACGTAATTGCAGTGTGCTTTGTTTATCTTTTAGCGAGGTTGTTTTGATTCGCAGACAGACACTTGTCATGCATATTGAACGCAAGTTCACCCAGTGCACCCATCGCGGTCTTTGTCGAAGGAATCGTGCAAAATTGATGATAGGGGTGATCAGTTAGAAAATGTCAGGGTGATGCTTAGTCCCTGAAAATTCTTAATTTTGATAGAAACAAAGGAGCAAATGTAAACATGCGAAGTAAACATGCGAAATCCCTTAACCTGCAGATCTATCTTGCATCGTGCATTGTTATGAAGTTACACTTACAGTATCTTGTTTTCAGGAGCTAAAATCATGTGGTTCGGGGACTGTATTGTAACACACTACAGTAAACATTGGTAAATGTAGGTGGCCGTGTTGTTACATAATCTGACATACATTTACGTATTTGAGAGTGATGCTGTCATTCAAAACATACGGTTTTCAGAAGACTGTAGTTTATCTACACTGTCACTTTCTGTGCTTCACTGAACTCACGTTTCTCATCAACTTTATCCTGATCAAGCCTTAAATCACATCTCAAGCGTCCAGGGAACCACTGCCAGTCTTATCTCTGACTTTCAACAGGTCTTTCTTTCTCTTTGCCACATCAGCTTAGTAATTGGCCTACGTGATCATTGCAGCAGCCATTGTCACTGTTGTTTCATCAGTGTTTTTGTAATGGTGTATTGGAACATCTTTAACAACATCAACACAACTTGTGGAGATCACATATCATTTAGACAAGCAGCCACTTTGTTTGTGAGAATCTCAATCTCAACCTAGGATAACTTAGTCTGACAGCTCTTCATCTGAGCTATATCAGATGATTTATGCCCGGAGTGGCCCTTCCAACAGTGGCCGCTGAGTTTTCATGCCTTGTTAAAGACCAGAGTGGCCCCTGCACTTAAAGGTCACATGCAACCAAAAAAACAAACATAATTAAAACACAGTTATCACTTATTCATGACATATAGTATACATTGCTGATTATGAAAAAACAAATAAACAAAATTAAAGGTGTACACTTGCAAATCAAAAGTGCAATATTTTGTACTTGGGTTTACTTCCCTCGAAATGAAGCACCCGGGATACGAACCCAGTCAGAGCGAGTGGGCGTGCACTTAAGTGTAACAAAGACTTTCATTGGTTGGTTCATTTGCCGATACACTCTTTGTGTGTGTATAGAGATGTTGGGTTTTGTAAATACATGCTCATTTTTTGTGAATAACATTTTGCATTCAACAGCCACCATAACATGTCATGTGTACAAGTATCACACCTGCCTGTCTGTGTGTAATTACATAATGTGACAGAGACCGAACTCGGGGTGCACGAGCCATAAATCAATGCGTTTAGTTTATGGTGTATAGTTGTTAAGTCCAAATTGCATGTGGTCAGTGATCAAAGTTGTTCATTGCATATTGTCATTAGCAGACAGGCAGGCAGACACAATTTCACTGTGCATGTGCCATGAGTGCAGCGCAGCAAAGCTTTGGAAACCATTTTTCACACCAGCTGGGGTGAATTTAGTGAATTGTTTTAACTCCGATTTAGCATGGGGTTTTTCATCGCGTTAATTTTCAACTTCATAAGTTGAATTTGCATTTTTTGATAATGTTTTGTAGGTCCATACCGAAAGGTATCAGAATCTGCAAAGTTGTGTTTTACGTTGTATGTGACCTTTAAGTGTTCCCACACTGGCCTCTCTTAATCCAATCAGTTTAATTACCAACAGTGTTGGACTAATTACAGAGGCGTGATTCTTTGAAGAAGCTTTGAATACCATGATGAAAAAGAAACACAACAAACCAAAGAGTGATTTACGATACATTTACATTATTCATGTCCATGGCTTTACATATACATATCAAGTCATATCACATATTAAAATCAAAGATAAACCATTACACAAACCATTCATGGTAACCAGACTCTCCCTTTGTACTCTGAAGTTATCACTTTGCTAACAGCCTCAGCAGTCACCTACTCACAGTAGCAGATTAACTCTTCTTCTTTTGACATTAAATGGCTTGAGTAGAAGTACCAGGACACTTTGCTGTAACCAAGGAATTGACATGAAATGTTTCTATGTTTTCGCGTTAAGAATATCATAAATGCAACTGCAGCAACTGAAATTTAAAAAAGTAGTACCAAACGAGGATTTATATTTGCACAAATTGATGTTTTGGCACCTGTACTTTCAGTTTCAAATGGATGCAAAGGGGCAACAGCCTCCCTCATACCACTAGCAGAGATCTGTTACTTTCATTGTAGCCTAAAACCCTAGCTTATTTATTGCAAAAGATATCCCCCTGTTTCACAAAGCGATCATAACACTATGATTTTCATAAGCCAGTGTTATGGTATATGACTCACGACAGGCGTAAGGTTATAGTCGATTTGTGAAATGGGGCCCTGTGCCCTGAATACATACAACTGGTGGTAGCTGGAAGCCACGGGTTTAAAATGACAGATTGATGACATTGCATTACTATGAATATTTTTATCACATGTAGGAATTTTGGACATTTCAACAGTTGTCAAATTTTGACTGTGGGAATATTCTATTCAAGTCATGTTCACGTTAATGGTGCTCACTGGTTACACAAAAGTGGTTTCAGCAACACAGTGTAAAAACATTCTGGATAACACCATAACAAAGCTGACCCAGAATATTGGACAAAATATGTTTTGAGAATAACTTTGACTTTGTCAAAATATAGAGTCTTATTCACACCGTTTCTTTATCTTAGTATTCATTAAAATCGTTATTACCATTGCAATTCTTGTGGTTAATGAATAATAATTTAATCCTTTGAAATGAAATTATATGAAGCAATTGATATTATCATAGAAATTAAGGGATTAAAATGATTTGTACATTAGAATTTGTTATCTTCATACAGACATAACCTATGAATGTCCGGGTTAGAATTGATCTTCAGTAACCCATGCTTGTCGTAAGAGGCGACTGACTTGGTTGACATATGTCATCAGTTCCCAATTGCACAGATCGATGCCCATGCTGTTGATCATTGGCTTGTGTGGCCCAGACGCGATTATCTGCAGACCGCTGCCATATAGCTTGAATATTGCTGAGTGCGGCGTAAAACTAAACTACTCACTCACTCATACAGACACAAAGGTATTAAAATAGGTAATACACGTTGGTATTTTGAGTTAAACAATAAAATAACAAGCTTTCTCACCTCTTTGTTTCTGTTCCAGCACCATCTCCTTCAAATGTCATCAGCGCACTGACTGTAAAGTGTATTGACTCAAAGAAAGTCTTCAACACTTCCACGTGGTTCAACCCTCGTTCAGACAAGTTATTAAAAGAATGCGATCAAGTCAATAGCTTGAACGATCCAAAACTCCAGCAAAGAGAAATAGAGGCTAACCAGATAGTGTTTGCGCAGTGGTTGCCCCTGCCTCGTGGTGGAAAACAGCTTGACATGTCTCGATGGTTTCAGAACGTCATTGCCGTCATACAAATTGACATTGGTTACAGTGAAAAGAATCCCATCGGTAAGTAGCTAGTGAAACACAGATCATAATATGATTCTATTCCGATCCCCTTTGTCACATAGGTTAGCATAGGTTAGGCTGGTTCCAGCTGAGGCAGTTCTAATCCATTCATAGGCGGATCCAGAAATTTTTTAGGGGGGTTGGGGTGGGGTTCAGGGGTTTGAACCCTCTGAACCCCACCTTGGCTCAGCCATTGCCAAACATTAACTTCAAAACATTAGTCATTTTCAATGTGGTCTGTGTGTTATTTTGAACCCAAATACATTTATGTGTGTGTTATTTTGAACCACACACACACACAAACACCCCCCCCCACACACACACACACCCATCTGGATCCGCCACTGCCATTTCAGAGTACATGGTAACAAGATTATTATTTGGGTAGATACATTGAAGGTATATAAGACTGTAAATGGACTTGTGTGTGGAGAAAGCACTGTGTGAATGCTCAGCTTGTTTTGAGTGAGTGAGTTTAGTTTTACGCCACTCTCAACAATATTCCAGCTATATGGCGGCAGTCTGTAAATAGTCGAGTCTGGACCAGACAATCCAGTGATCAACAGCATGAGCATGGATCTGCGCAATTGGGAACCGATAACCTGTCAAGATAGCGAGCCTGATCACCAGATCCTGTTAGTCGTCTCTTACAACAAGCATGGGTTACTGAAGATCAATTCAAACACGGACCTTCACAGGTGTAGCCTGTTTTGGTTATGGAAACAGGGTTATCATCATAAGCTGGTAATGATTAAGCGTTATTATCATGACATGAGGCTTATTTGCCTAATATATGTTAAATTTGCCTGATCTTGAACGCAATGTATATTAACCAAGAAATGATACTTAGTATTTAGTCCATTGTATCATTTGATTTGCTCAAACTGACATGTTGATGGTTGGTGCTTGTTGTAAAGTTAAATTGATCTGGTGTCTGCAGGCCCTGACCCGGTCCTGCGGATGGTTGCCAGCATCGGGTACCGTGACAAACACGACAAGGAAGATGACTGGAAGGAACTAGCAAGGGCCACTGAGGACCGCCATCTTGAGTGTCATCTTGATGATCATGAAGTAAGTAGCCCTGATTGTAATCCTTGTCAGCATCATACTAGTGGACATCCACAACCTGAATCCAGTTGTAAGTATCTCCCACATTATGCAGCTATACACTAATGTTACTGAAATACTGAGTGTGACCCAACTATGTCAAACCACTGGTCTGTTCTTACACCAAGCAAGGGGTACTGACAGAGGTGGAAATAACTTTAATATTGCTAATGTACTCCCGAAACAGTGGCACATGTAAAATCACTTGCCCTGCTAATTTTTCCACTATACTGGCCGATTTTCTTGTTGATTTTTTAAATAAACAACATAATTAATATTGGAAAGTCAACTGGACACCGGTACAGTGTGATATACAAATTTGCTTGCCCGACAGAAAAAAACACTGGACTGGGGCATTGGGCAATGGGTTTTTCCACCCCTGTACTGGGGAACCTCCTTGAGAAAGACGAGCTATACTATTGGAATTCATGGTTTATGTTCTATTTGTAGATTCATTTCAGTGTCTTCTACATGTTCTAGGCATCAAAACTGATGTACAGTTGATGACTAAGATTGTTTGGTTTACCCTGACAAATTATTTTCAGTTTTTTAAGTTTGCTTTTGATTATGTCATGGGGCATGTGGTAGAATTGGTAGTTAATTGTTGAGTGTCATTGATCAGTGTATATTATTTACTATTTGATTGTCCAGAAAGAAGAAGGAGTACATTACCACTGTGATCTCATACCCTTCTTTGAGCTGGGAAGTGTTCACCATGACTACTACCTGGTCAACATCCGAATCCCTGTGCTGGAGTCCAGAGGCATCAACTTAGGAATAGGCAGCATAGAAGATATCCATGTTGTGGTGAGAACTCTTGGATCTTTGATTGCACTGTTTGCTATTTATCATCATCATCATCATCATCATGCATGGCAATTATCAGTTGATGCACTGGACCTTTTCTCCAGGAGAGGATCAGGATTTCATTTATTAAATTTGACTTTGTTTTCTGTTTTTGTGTGGGTTTTTTGTTTTTGCTTATCACCATCATAAAAATAAGGCTAAATGTTTCACACGCACCTACATTCAATTTAGTCTCATTTTCGTTATTGTGGGTGTGTGAACAACCAATGAAGTTAAAGGCCTTATCTTGATTATTGATGTTACAAAGACCCTGCTTAAATGTCTCACTAAACCAGAAAGTACTCCAAGGATTTGCTTGTCAAGTTAAGAAATGTTGCTTCTCCAGGCCATCCACCAGAACGGTGGTTTCACCAAGGTGTGGTTCTCCATGAAGACTGTTGTCTTCCCCGTCCTCCTCGCTGTTCTGGTCTGGTTCTGGAACAGAATACAGAAACTCAGTCGTCTTCCCAACCTGCTGGAAAGGTTTGTATTTATCTACCTGAGTGAGGGAGTGAGTATGGTTTTACGCTGCTTTTAGCAATATTCCAGCAATATCACGGCGGGGGACACCAGAAATGGGTTTCACACATTGCACCCATGTGGGGTATCAAACCCGGGCCTTCGGCGTGACGAGCGAACACCTTAACCACTATGTTACCCCGACGCCCCTTATCTACCTGAGAGAGATTGAAGGTTATTTGATTTCTCATAGGTTCAGATTGGATGCTACCAACCATGGCATTCATCACTCCTCTGTATCAAATTAGGATCCTACCTTGTGTGGACTACCTTGCATTTGTCCCAAAGTAAAATTTCTCATTCCAAAATTAGAATCAGTTGAGCAGATAATTATAAGTGAAAAAACCACACTTTTGGGGTGAAAACATTACTGTGTGCTTGTCTGTTTATATTTGTAATTGGGGATGCTGCTCATGTACACTTAACTTGATTGATAAAAGTTCACAAAATTTAGTATATACTGTAAACGAACTATTTTTCGCTTGGTGCAAATTTTGCGGAATTGACAGTTTAGACTGCATCGCGCGGTCAATTGTTTGTGCAATCAGTAATTGCCGGAACTGCCAGCTGTCTCTTAGGCCGCTACTAATAGCAATGAAAACAAACAGAGTGGCGTAACCTGTCAGGCGACGTGTATTGCTTACTCACAGGAAATTCCTACCTGCGCGATATATACAGTAATACGTTTACTCACGGAAGTATTAAGTACTTAGGAAGTGAGATATCGTGATGCAAATATGAAGAGATGAGAAACACATCAGTCTTATTTTCCGAATTCTGACGATCTAACGATGGCATTGCGAAATTGACTATCAAGGAAATGAACTTGTACCGTATATGAAGCTTTTTGTGATTTCATTTCGTGATATGCAGGAATAAATATAAATAAAATCTTAATGAATAAATAAAATACTGTTGTATTATTTCTTTCCGAGTCGTTTCATGGTAATCAGTTTTGTATCAAACCATCTGTCACTACGATTAGACAAAATAGAACATGTGAGGACATGATTTGGGAAATCCATTACAGTTAAGTATGATTCATTATGCTACTATCAGTCCTCATTTTAAGATTCCCGTAGATATCTGTCTTCAAACTTGATGTGTTATGGTAACAACTCAGAGGCGAGAGTGGGTTTATTTGCTGTGTATAAATTTTCGTGCGAAAATAAAACCTGCGCGATATATAATATGGTTACAATAGATGGTTTGTCTATCAAAGTAATGGAAAGATTGTATATTTTCTGCGATTCTAATTATAATGGTCATTAGGTTTGTGAGGTGAGGTGAAATTGGGTTTAACGTCGTGCTTGAGAATATTTCGCTCATATGACGACGTGCATGCGTGTGTATGTGTATGTGCAGCTGCTTGTACTAGCCCAGACTGAAGCTGGTTTTATAGTGCAAGCCCACTGAGATACCATGCCGCAGTGAAGCATGAATACCCCACTCAGACACATTATACTTAGTCCTTGTTGTACCCATTAATGCCGAGCACCAGGCAGGGACTAACAAGTACCATATTTTAACGTCTTTTGGTATGACACGGTCGGGGATCGAACCCGCGACCTTCCGTTCTCCGGGTGGACGCTTTAACCACTACACCATGGAGGCGGTCGGTCAGTCATTAGGTTTGTAAGTCAATTGATAAAAAACAGATACATGGAGACATTTTGGAAACTACGTGAAAATTGACCGAAATGAAAACATATTGATCTCCTCTCAGAGTGAGTGAGTATGGTTTTATGTCGCAAATATTCCAACAATATCACGGCAGGGGATACCAGAAATTCACAGATTGTACCCATGTGGGGGAATCGAACCTGTGTCCTTCAGCATAACGAGCGAAGCTTTATCAACTAGGCTTCCCCACCATTCTCTCCTCTCAGAAATGTTCCTATTGCATAATTTGCAATGATTTGAATTTGGTACCTGTTGATTTCAGGACTCTGTTCTCTCTTGGCATAATCTTGTCCATTATGAACCTGCCTATTGAGTGGTTGACCTTGAACTTCGACATGCCATACATGCTGCTGGTGGGAGACATCCGCCAGGGGGCGTTCTATGCAATGCTGTTGTCCTTCTGGGTGATCTTCGCGGGGGAACACATGATGGACCAGGTGGAGAGAAACAAGCTGAGCGTGTACTGGAAACATCTGGCTGCAGTCATCTTTGGATGCGTTTGTCTCTTTGTTTTTGAAATGTGTGAGAGGTAGGTAATCAGTGATGGCAGTTCACCCTTTAAGCTGTGACAGCTGAATGAATAAGAGACTACCATCAGCTATTATGCACAGTTAACAACTCCCAATTTTATTTTGTTGTGTTGACTGGTATCATGCCATGGAAAATTGACATAATACCATCAAAACGTTAGGGTCATTTGTCAGGTAATAGTGTATGAATTTTTTTGATAATGGTACAGTTCCTTTTATATCCTCATCTTGTGTTGGGGGAGAGGCATTAGTTCCCTGTGTTTGCTCTACACATGTTACAAGAAGACTAATCATGTTAATGAAAATCGGGTGTTTACATAATGTCAGCAGTGTGCAAATGACCAGGGCCTCCTTTCACAAAGCACTAAGGTGATCGTAAGTCATTAAGGTAACCTTAGTGCAGTGTTAAAGAATGGGAGTTAAGGTTAACCTTAGTAAAGATGAAAGGAGCCCCTGTGCTGTAAATAAGTGTCAAATGGTTTTACTTCCGTTAATATGTTTACTTGACATGTTTGAATCGAGTCATGAATCGTTTCTATTCTGCTGGACATTGTCCCATGATGTCGTTAGATGACAGTTTTGACATGTCAACTTTGCTTATTGAATTAACTTGATTGATTTATTCATGTCTAGAATAACACAACAGGAGTATTTTGTATTATAAAACTGTGCAACTGATAAATGATTAATCTGTGATAAACAATCATCTAAAGATGTGTTCGATTATTTACAGGGGTGTCCAACTGACAAACCCTTCTTCAGCATCTGGACGACGAAGGTTGGCACTAACCTGGCCTTGACCTTCATCATCCTGGCAGGCATGTCAGCTTGTCTGTATTTCATCTTCCTGTGCTACATGATCTTCAAGGTGTTCAGAAACATCAGTGCCAAGAAGCTTTCACTCCCCCACATGAGCAGCGTGCGACGCAAGTTCTATATGGTATGACATTAGTTCCTGTTCACAAGGGACCAATTCAGTGATCTGAGCACTACCTTGATGTAACACCCTGCCTTTAACCCTCTTGCAATGGTCACTTAAACACAGTAAAAAAGCCCACTAACCTTTCAAGCTATTGAAGGCTCTACTGTGACCTGGTATTGTTTTAAAGTTTAGGGATCACTTTTCAAATGTTTTAGTGATCATGATGATGCAGAAATTTGCCAAGTCAAAGACATACACATTATACTATACTCCACTGAATCTTTGTCCTTCTCCCAATAACAATTTTGATAATGACTTGTTGCTACACAGAGTAACTGCTTGTTGAATGGTTTTAGCCGGTTGTTCGGCTAGCCTAGTGGTTAAAGGCTTCACACGTTAGGCTGAAGACCCGGGTTCTATCCCCTGCATGGGTACAATGAGTGAAGCCCATTTCTGCTGTAACACACTGTGATATTGCTGGAATATTGCCTAGGCGGTGTAAAAACTCACTCACTCCACTCACTCCGCTCTCCACTCACTCATTCCTCTCCACTCCACTTCGCTCCACTCAAGAGTTTTACAGATATTAAGTTTTCATCTGGTTACACCAATTATTACCAGGAACAGATTTTTATAGCACTGGAGAGGGTTCCATGCCTGCTGGCCTGTATGTGTGATGGTGTTGTACGTCTGTGTCATGTGTGACATATTTCCAGGGCTTGATCTACCGCTTCAAATTCCTGATGCTGATAACCCTCGTGTGTGTGCCCCTCACTGTCATCTTCTTCATCATCAGCCAAGTGAGCGAGGGATCATGGAAGTGGGGTGATGAGAACATCAGCCTAGAGTACACCAGCGCCTTCCTCACAGGTGGGTTCAGGACTGGAAAATAATTTAAAACATAGTGATGTCCCAGGTGAATGCCTTATAGAGTCCTAGGGCAGTAGGGTAGTCTGGTGTTAAAACATGGAATCATCACACTGGAAGACTCAGGGTTTATTGCCTACATGGGTACAATGTGTGAAAGACTATTTCATATAATTGATGGAATATTGCAAAGAGTTACATAAAACCTTACTCATTGTATGAACACAAGCTGTCACTGATGGGTTGGTTATTATCTCCCTTGATCAGAAAGGGTTCAATGATTGGGAGTGTAAATTGTCACAAGTACATTCTGGGCTTAAAAGTGAAAATTACCAGAAAATAGTGAACAATTATTGGCCGGGTGTGCTTATATTCATTCTCTTCCCACAGAGGTTACTTGTCATATCTTCCTACGAACCTCTGTTCTAATACGGCCATATTTCCCGGTTCTCGTAAAATCCCCTAGCGGCAAAAGATCGCAATACAAGTTATCTCCCTTCTTTCTATCCAATCAGAACACGTGTTACATCGACTTAGATTCAACTTGACTAACACAAGCAAATGTGGGGCCACAGATATCCCCCATCTGCCAGGGACTTGTGTTGATGTTACACACAAGACGTTTAATGGCTAGCTTGTCCGTTGTCAACGAGGGCGATGGAGACGCCACTGATCCGCCATAACATGACTGAGTTCTGTCTAGAAGAAACGTTTGCACATTGCGCAGGGGAAAAGGTTTAGTTTTCTCGAAGCATACGGAAATTACCGAGGCCTTGCGAATGATCACTTTTGAAACAACGTCGCTGATTGCACAACTAAATCTGATTGCCTCCAATCACTAGTCTTGAACGCTCACACCATGAAAGGGACGTATTAGAACAGAGGTTACGTAGGAAGATATGACAGGAGTAACCTCTGTGGGAAGAGAATGGCTTATATTATGCATGTTGGTATATTGAGATGATGCAGATGACCCAGGTACCAAATATCCTGTAACACTCTGTAGAGATGTCTCCCCTAGCTCTCTCTATCATTTGATTTGGAATATCCCAAACATCTCTAATCTCGCCTCCCATGTTATTCATGGAGTGCCATGAGCTGAGGTAATACAGTTAAGAGTTATATCTCAACTCCCTATTAGCAGATGGATGTTCTCATTCCCCTTCTAATGGGACTTCCATGTAGCAGTATAGGCCCCAGCAGCCTGTTTCACGTTACAAGCAACAGAATGGATTGGCCAGGGCAAGTGACATGTTTGACCGCATGTCATTGTGTCAGTCATGAGTTTGTCTATTCCACACAAGATTATTTACATTATTATATTATTGAGAGTGGCATTAACCAACAATTTGTTATTTTATTCCAGGTGTTTATGGAATGTGGAATGTGTACGTGATTGGCCTGCTGTGTATGTACGCCCCATCTCACAAGGCTATTGCAAACGATGGTAAGTGGTGCAGTTGGCCAACAAATGATATCAGATGGTTATCATGTGACATTGGTCATTGCCCAAGTGGGGAACAGATCCCCTGCAACCTGGGCTGCAACTCATAGCATCAATCACTGGATTGTCTAGTGCATTTTTTAAATACTGTCATCATATTCCTGGATTATTGCTGAATACAGAACAACAAACAGATTGTTATACTGAGAACTAGTGTTGGGAATTGGTTAAATTCTCATAATTGATGATTGGTTCATTACTACCGATCAATCATCGAAAATAATTGGTTAGCATCATTTATGAAATTTGTTAATGCACATAAAAATAAGGGAAAAACATGTAGTTCTTTTGGATTTTTTGGCAAAATTTCACATTTTTAAAGGTTGACTAGTATGTTAGGAACATAAATTTCTTGGAATCTTTAAGATAAATTCAATTATGACTTGAAACAAGCTTGTAGTGCTTACTAGGGTGGCGAAATGTAACAGACTAACGGAAATGTTCGAACCATGTGAATAATATTGTTAATGAAAACAAGTGTTCCAGAATTGTTTGTGTTCGATTATGAGAAATTATGATCGATTGCTTGGTCGTTTAGTCACTACGACCAATCTTCGATTATTTCAATTACTCGGACCACCACTACTGAGAACACAATTTCATAGTTATTCCAGAAAATATTCATGATCCTTAAATCTTTTCATTTAATATATTTCACAATTCTGCAGCCTGCAGGGAAGGTTGGATGTAGTTTTTTGAAGTTTCATTATTTTCTGTACTTTGTTGGAAATATGATGTCATATTACTGAAAGTTGTATTTTATGCAAACCAATCTGACAGCATGGTTATCTCTGTTTCCAGAGAAAAGTAAACTCATTGTAATCATGTGAACACTTGAAAGGTATTATGTTTGCGATCATATGATTTGATGTTGCATGTTAAAGGACTTGACCATCTCAGATAGTTTAAGTCTTCTAACATAATTACACACTATGATCTATCCAGTTAGTAACCCGGTATGTAAGTCAAGTCTTCTTTAAGTCAAGATAACTGTTAATCCTTTTTAAAATGAAATAATTTTTAACTAATCCTGCACTACTTGCTTCCTGCACTTATTGCTTACGGCTCGAAAAGCGTGACTTGCCAGACGATGTCAAAAGACATCGGCAGGGAGACTGCTTGCTACATGGCTTTACGTAAAGTCATTACCATGTTGGAATCCAATTAAAGTATTTTAGACGTTTTTCACAAAATTGTAGCCCCTTTTGTTATCAAGTAAGTCTGAACACACCTTTAAAAAAAATAAATTACAATGTATATATATTCAATGTAACTGAAATGTAATGTAACTGAAAATCTAAATATTTTTATTATTTGTATACTTATCCTGCACTACTTACTTCCTGCACTTACGGCTCGAAAAGCGTGGCTTGCCAGACTATGTCAAAAGACGTAGAACTGCAATCACTTCCTGGTCTAGGCTGCTACTCATCTGCACATGCGTCACGGAAGGTGACGTCAGCCACCTCAGATTATTGCTTTTCGCACGCCTCATTAGACGTGTTGTTTGCCAGCTCAACTTGTATCCTACGGATTATTTTTGTGAAGCTTAATAAAGACTGACTTTGTGTGTATTTTTGGTTTTTGTCCTCTACGAGAAGTGTAGGTATTATCTTTCACTTTCTCTTGTTTAGTTCAGTAGTTCTGTGTAGTGATGTCGTTCGTATATACACGGTCCCGTCATCACACTTTCACTTCGCCATTACAACACTTCACCGTATTTGATAGTCATTGTGTTTTATTTGGTTCAGGCTTATATACTATACCATATAATAGTGGTATATTTATTGTGCCTGTATTATGGTCTCTTTAACTTTCAGTTGTTTTGAAACTTTGTTCTCAATTGAAACTTTGTTCTCTTGACGACCACTACGTCTACATCCAGTGTTGCAGCGTCCACTGTGTCTCCGAGTGCGCCTGTCACCAGCATTCAGATGATGACCTCGCCTCTTATGTCACCATGCGTTACAGCGTTTGGCGCTTCAGCGCTTAATTGCCGTCGCATGGACTGTCGGCGCCTGGTGCTTCGACGCTTGGCACTCCCTCACCTCCTACGCTGTTGCCGATGTTGTCACCGCAACGACCGATGGGTCAGCAGTTTGCGCTGTGTCAGACGCCCCAGGCTCCTGTGTCGCAGTCCTTTCCAGTGTTCCCGGGGCAGGCGCCTTATGCGTATCAACCATCTACAGCGTTTCCAATGCCTCAGGTGTCTATGATGCAGACGCCATACGGCCACCAGCAGTTTGATGTGTCCACGCTCAGCACTCTCTTGACTTTACTGTCAGGTCAAACCGGTACATCAGCGCCTATGCCGTTTATGCCACCAGCAACATTGCCTCTCCCCCCTACAGCGCCTCCAGCGCCTTTACCACCTCCGACGATTATGGCACCTCTGCCTCCTCCAGCATCGGTGCCTATCCTGTCTACTGTGTCTGCTCCTGTGCCTACGCCAACGTCTCCCGTTGCATCCACATCTTCGGCAGGCGACCACAGGTCGAGACCTCGGAGCAAGGCGTCTTCTGCTAAGGCTTCGTCTGCACGTAGGATGTCGGGGGATGTCTCTCAACCCAACTATTAAAGCGCCTAGAGTCCGGCGTGATGACTATCCTATTCATGGCTTGGACTTTGCCCAGACAGTGACTAAGGTGGATGAGGAAATGAAACGTGTGACAGGCTCTTCCTCTGTCTCCTCCTATAAAGTTCAGGACACAAGGGTCGCGGCTTTTGGACTTAAGCGTATGCTCCGCCCTATATCGGCATTGGCGTCAGCGACTGATGCCATCACTCAGGATCTTAAGGAAGTAAATCCGGATCGACTGGATCATCTCACAACTATGATGCTATGGCAGGGCAAAGTGCTCACTGACCTGCTTGAGCACCTTTGGTCGGCGCTTGCCAACGCAAGCGTGTGTGGTCTGTCTGCAAGGCTTCCTCTCCTTTTCTTCTTGGGATTCGAAGTTTCAGCGGAAATTATTCCACCAACCCTGGTCATCGTCGTCACTGTTTAACAATGCCATTCATGACGTTTATCGGGAGGTGTGTGATTTTGCCAAAGGGGAGACTGCCTTGAAAGCTTTTCAAAAGGGACAAAGTCCTTCCTCCACGCCATCCAACACCTTCCAGCCTCGGCGACCGTCTGTTCGGCATGCCAGAAACTCAGCGCCGTCTCATGGCAGGGGACGTGGTTCCAAGCCTAGATCAGACAGGGAGGATTCATCGCCGCCTGCTCCCGCCAGGGGACGAAGGAGGGAGGGGACACTCCACGCCCAGTCGTCCCAGTTTATCCTACACTGGTAGGTGGGAGAATAGGGATCTTTGGGGAAAATTGGACCATCCTAGAGGATCCATACGTCACTGATATATTGAGGCAGGGGTTTCGGCTCCCCCTCCTCTCTGATCCACCTCTGACACTGTTCCCGGTCCGGCACAATCACTCCCAGGTTCAACACGACCTCTTAGCGGAGAACATAGCGATTTTGTTGGAGAAAAGAGCCATCGAATTACTCCTGTATCCCGTCACAACACCAGAGTTTTATTCCCCAATATACTTAGTGCCGAAGAACGGGTCCACGAAAATGAGGATGATTCACAATCTGTCCTATTTCAACGAGACTTTCCTGCAACGTCCTCCGCACTTCCGAATGACGTCCCTCGAATACCTCAAATCTATGGTATGCGTCAACAAACTTGTCTTCTAGTGGCCACGGACAACACCACGGTGGTATGGTACATCTGATAGCAAGGGTCGAGGGGCCTCGGATTGCAGCTCACAGTTTCTTCTCGATCAGACTTTTTGGCTCTTTCAGCTGGTCGACGATCTCCACATTCTGTTGAGAGTTCGGCATATTCCGGGGTGCCGCAATATACTAGCAGACGCGCTCTCGAGACCCGACAGAGTTGCTCCCACGGAGTGGATGCTACACAAGGAGGCCTTCGCTCTCCTAAGTCACGCATTGGGTACTCCAAACATAGATCTGTTTGCCACCAGCCAAAACCATCAACTGCCAGTGTATGTATCCCCAGTCCCGGATCCAGCGGCGTAGGCGGTGGATGCTCTCAGCCTATCGTGGGAGGGGCTTCACGCGTATGCGTTTCCGCCACCAGTTCTATTACCCAAAGTTCTCGCAAAAGTCAAGGAGACAACTTGCCTACGACTGATTTTGGTCGCGCCTTGGTGGCCGGCCAGGAACTGGTTTCCTGTTCTAAAAAGTCTAGTGGTAGGAGATTCCTTCCCTCTACCCACATGGAGGAACGTTTTCGTGCACCCTCACAGCCGTCTTCCGTATCCTGCTCCAGATCGTTCAATCTGCACGCATGGACCATTTGCAGAAGGCACTGAGTGCTAAGGGGTTTTCGGACAGAGCAGCCAAAGCCATTGTGACGGCGCACAGAACTTCTACTAGACATTTGTATGACGACAAGTGGCAGTAGTTTGAATGATTTTGTGTTAGCAGGAAGCAGGATCCGCTGAAAGTGTCTCCTCAGTTCATAGCAGACTTCTTACTTTATCTCCGAACGTCCAGGCGTCTGAAGGGAGGCACCATTGCCACGTATTTAGCGGCAATTAGCTCCGTTTTAGCGGTTCCCACTGACAGAAGGATTTCCAAAATCCCAGAATTACAGGCCATGATTCGTTCATTCAGACTTGAAGACCAAAAGTTGAAGTTTCGGCCGGCATGGAATCTCAACACTATTTTAGACCATCTCCGTGGTGCACCTTATGAACCTCTTGATAACGCTTCCCTCGCTGATTTATCCAGGAAGACGGCTTTTCTGTTGTCATTAGCGACTGCGGCTAGAGTGAGTGAGGTTCACGCCCTTGACGGGACTAGGGTCAAGTTTGAACGTTGTCATCATGGTTCTGTGCATTTAGGTCTGTGTTGGGATTTCATCGCTAAAAACCAACTACCAGGTCAACCTGATCGACAGCTTTCCATCCCGCTATTATCATCTATTGTTGGCTCTGAAGACGATGCTGAATTACTTTTATGTCCGATTTGTGCGCTCAAGACTTACATTGATCGCACCAAAGGCGTCCGTGGTACAAGGAAATGGTTATTTCTTCCCCTATCCCGGGCGTCACAGTCAGATGTCAGCAAAAACACAATTGCCTTATGATTAAGAACGACCATTCTTCAGGCATATAAAGCGGCTGGGCTGGACCCTCCTACGTCCTCTCATCCCCAAGAGATTCGAGCACTTGCTTCGACTATGGCACTTCACAGTAATTGCACTGTGTCATCCATTATGCAAGGTTGTTTTTGGCAGTTGGACACAGTTTTTGCCAGTCATTATTTGCGTAACGATGTCCACAGCTTCGGACCATTGGTGGTTGCTCAGCAACTCGCCATTCCCCGAAGAAAGTGACCCTCCTGTCTTGTGTTTTCCTTCCCACGGACCACCATGTGGGGAATGAGTTGTTTTTTCTTCAGAAACAACTAGGTATGTCAGTTAAGGAGTTATCCTTGTTTTCAAGTCCATGCTTTTTACTGCATTCCTTAAGCTTAGCCAGCTTTAAAATTAGTGGTTTCTTTTCATTTAAGACGGGGTCTCATTTGCGAATTACCACTACCTGATCGTCACTCGCTAATTCGCTCTCTGTTATAGGCGCGTTACCAACGCTTCCCGAGCACGGGATTTACGGATTGAGCTGGCCGCTATTACATAAGCGAGGCGATCCCTCAGATGAGACGCCCATACTCCAGCCTGTCAGATAAAAGTGCAGGAAGTAAGTACTGCAGGATTAGTTGAAAAGTTAGTAAAATCTAAATATTTTTTATATTTGTATACTTATCCTGCACTACTTATGATAAGGGCCCACCCTGTGCTATCAGCTACCTCCACGCTTTCTTTTGCCATCTGGGGATTTCTGGCAATAATCTGAGGTGGCTGACGTCACCTTCTGGTGACGCATGCGCAGACGAGTAGCAGCCGAGACCCAGAAGTGATTGCAGTTCTACGTCTTTTGACATCGTCTGGCAAGCCACGCTTTTCGAGCCGTAAGCAATAAGTGCAGGAAGTAAGTAGTGCAGGATAAGTATACAAATATAAAAAATATTTAGATTTTACTAAAATTCAGTTACGTTGAATATATATACATTGTAATTTATTTTTTTTTAAAGGTGTGTTCAGACTTACTTGATAACAAAAGGGGTACAATTTTGTGAAAAACGTCTAAAATACTCTAATTGGATTCCAACATGGTAATGACTTTACGTAAAGCCATGTAGCAAGCAGTCTCCCTGCCTGTTCCAGGGCATGCCCATATGAACTGTAGAACACCAAACATGAGAGAAAATCAGTTTCCTTGCTTGAAAATAATGAGACACTTTTTTCAACAGTATTTAACATGATGTGAATTTACGAGAATTCTTTTACTAAATGAAATTGTCATCATGAGAATACTCCCCTGTTCTTAGTGTAAGTTAAATACTGTGCCTTTGTCAGTTTAGTTTTCAATAGATATTCTGTATTCTGTTTGATGTATTTAAGGCACGTTTAAATCCCTAGAGAAGATAAAATCTTATGAATGTCTCAACATCATACAGTATTGTTTGGAACGTTTTCAATGTCCACTGGATAAAAAGACGTTCAAAGGGTAGAATAGTGGTCTAGCAACTAAATTGCAGGCTGCACAGGTGGGAAAGATGAAACCAGGGATCCGTTTCACATAGCTATCGTAGTGGTACGACTGTCGTAGCGCTACGAAAGCTTTGTAAAACGGGGCTCAGAATGTCAGGAGTAGACACATTATTATAAATACTCCCACACAATTGTCTACCTTGACAGAAAGTCATCTGAGGTTATATAATTATGGTCATTTACAACAAATATAAGCATAAATATTCATATTCTCAAAATATATACATTTGTGTATTTGTTTGAATTCACCCTTGGGAATGCACACAAAGAATATTAGGTATGAAAAAAATCCACCAACAAAATATGCACTTGTATGTTCTGGAAGTATTTCTTGTACATGTCATCATGAGTGTATGTTCATCATTAAAATAATGCAGTTGATGAATGCTTTTAATGAAAATTTCAACCAGTTATTGCTTGTCCCTTCTCACTGCTACTCCATCATAAGTCACATATCACCACTACTGATGATGATGATGATGATGATGATGATGATGATGATGATGATGATGATGATGATGATGATGTTGATTTTCCAGATTCAGTGAACAGCAGTCAGGAGGAAGAGGAGGTGCAGCTGACGCAGATACCGTCTGAGGTATCAGCCCTGTCATCTTTTGCATCGAAGGCTGCAACCGACTGAGGTATTCATCAATCCAGGATCCTCCAGCAGCCCTGGTCTCTACACAGTGCTAACTCAGACAGGGTACAATATCCCAGCTCTAGACTCCGTTCTTACAACTTGTGATATGTGTCTATATTTTGTCAATGGCTTACAATTTCAATGGTTACTTTGGTGATATCATTTTAGAAACATTTTTGCCATAAGCTCTTTACTGTTGTCATTGTTGCTTCATTTGTTGAAAACTTTGAGATGAAATTTATTGGACTTCTATGGATCAGACCCAAAACATTTTTATAACGTCCTTCGTATTCATAAAATTCTGTCAGGTACAGATTTGTCATGTGACGTGAAATGGCAGTTGGCAAGTAATGCAGTCTTTTCACGCTGTACTGAAGTGAATGTATGAAAACCTAAACAAAATTGTGTGTAACGATATATTTAACTGGTTTATCAGTTATTGTGCTAACTGCCTCATACACTTGTGACCGATTGCAGATGATTCATGATGCTGCAGAATGCATGGTTGGGCCTGTGGCCGGTGTAGAGTTATGTCCCTTGATCATGCCAGAAACCTGTGATTGTGGGTTCGAATCCATTTTGCCCTGATATTGTTTCTTTGTTAGTCAAAACCAATGTTTATGGGTTTATCCAAAGAGGCAAATGTCTGCGATCTGAGTCATTAAAACTTTCCTCCCACACTATGCTGACACACCATAATATAACTGGAACACTGGTCAAAGAAATGCCACCCTAAGCCCAGATAACTCATGATACTGCACGATTCACTTCTTTAAGCAGGATAAACGTCATAATCAAAGCTTAGATATTTAAATAATCAAAACCTGCTGGTACTTAAAATGCAGTTTTGTACATTTGTAGTTTAGATGCCTTAGTTTATATATTTTACAATAATAATCATGCTGTGTATTTTTAGAGCATGATACATGAAGTTTACACATTTATACATATCTTAATATATATAATACATCCAATATTTCTACTATATATTTGTATGCAACGTATGTTAAGAGTGAAATAATTGTGTTCTTGTAACCAACACAGGATGTATTTTATATCATGTTTATGTAATGATCTGGTCAGCATTTATCATGTTTATGGACCAATGAAATAACTTGAGATCCTTGTTGATGGGGTTTTCATCTTACCAAGGTAAACTTTTAGTCAAGTTATCAAACTGACAGCACCAACATAGGCTTGATCTACAGTTTGAATGTACATGTAAGTAAAAGCTGACCTATAAATAATCGGTCGTCATCATTATCATTGGTTAAAAAGAACAATTTGATCTTGATTTGAAATATTTTGCGTCCCTCAGTGAATTGTTTTTCTGCCTCCATTCTCTACATTTGTGAGTACTGGACGCACATTTAAGTTTCGCGGAAAACCCTGCAGATGTAATCATAGTTAGTCCAATAATTAAGCATGTAAGAATGTTTTAGGTTTACATTGTGTTGTTTGCATACGTAGAATAGTGAGTTGTTATAAGATCTGAAAGTAAATAATATTCATAATATTCATTCACGTTTTCTTGAATCTAGGGGTGATATGTCAAGGTTTATGTATGGTGGGGGTGTGGCTGAGCACCCTTAAGGTGCAAGTGTTTAAGAGTTACACCCCCTTGCAGTGACAGGACATGTTGGTTGAGTGTTCAAAATGCAGATTCCCCTCAGTGCCATTGTTTTTACAAAAGTGGTAATGGTCTTTAACTTAAATGTCTTCCCACAGTAAGCTGTCTCACAGAAACAGTACTGGAATATTGTTCACAGTTCAAAATAGGTTTAGACTCACTGCATAATGGCTTGGGTTACAGTAAGTTGTATTTACATTGTGTCTTGAAATTGGTGTCATTGTGTGTCAAAGCATATTGTATTTTACAGAAAGATCTGTTTTTTATGATGACATAAGTTTTGTGTCATCTTTTTCTCAATTCTAGATGGTAATGTTCTTTTCCCAGAGTAACAGAGGGATCCTGTCATAGACTCTGCATCTGTTTAAGCAGTATTTGATCAGCTATAACCAACAGAGCCAAATATCAGAAACTCAGTTGGTGCAAATATAATATGTGTGTTCTTGCATTTAGAGATCTGTGTCTTGCTTGATGTGTATATAAGGAATTATGTTTTATTGTGATTTCCATCGTAGCTCATGTTTCCAGTGTTCTATTTTATAAACCTCAGTTCAATAGCTGAGAGATTATCATACTTGATGTTACTGTGGTAACAACCAAATACCCATGACAAAACTTAGCAATACAAAATATGGCAAATTATGAAAATACTATTTCTCTTTCATATGATGTTTCAATTACAGATAAATCCTTGGTGGAATCTCTGAAGGTGGATACAGGTTAATTGCTTGGATTGATTCTTTATCTGTAATTGTACATTGTTCAGAGCATTAATATCACTGCTCCAAACTAAAATAATTCCCATAAGCAATAAAAACAACCATCCACTTCTTGCCAGTTACTGATAAACCCTTTTCATCGGCAAATCATTATTACAAGTATAAGTACACAAGGTTTTTCCAATTGATACATATTTATGGGTTGGGTTTACCAAAAGCCTGTGAAAGTGGAGGGCTTGGTTTAATGTATAGTGACCATTATTTAAGAACAATGATAAATATTGGGCCTGGACCACAATCTATAGAACAGTTTGGGGCTTTAGGGTAGCCTTATGGTTGAAGTATTTGCTGGCCATACCCAAAGTATACGGTTCAATCCCTACCAGGGTATCACATGTGAGGCCTATATCTGCCAAAATACAGCTGGGATATTGCTTAAGTGGAGTAAAATCCTACTTTATTTTCCTACAACTCTTGAGATTATGAAGTGGATCAAAGGCTCATAGAACTTGACTATTTCTGTTCTTTGTGGCAGAATGAAGGAACCCGCATTGTGAAGCCCTGTGGTTTACATTTTGGTCACATAAGCATTACCGTTGTGATAGTTATGAGGAACTTGTGAATCATGCCTCTGGTATTGTGTTGTGGCATACTTGCCTACGCTTTTATGTCACGCGTCAAAGATCTAATGGATTTAACGTTTACAGCAATAGAGTAATTTAGATATTTTTATGTGTACATTTACATTTACGAACTTTATATATTCTGTATATTGTAGATAATTTTGAGAATAAATGTTCTTTTGAATTACTTTAAAATGAATTACTTTAAAATTTTCACTGTAGCGGTGTAGTAGTAGTTTGGGAAAGTGAAGACCCAGACACTGCTCACTACATGTTTTTATCCCTCGCCGCGCGTTTAGAGCGTAGCGGGGGATATAGTATAAGGCTCCTTCCGTCCGTACGAATTGGAATATCTTAAGAACCGTTGACTAGATTCTTTTCATATTTGGTACCTACGTTCATCACAGTATAAGAAAGGTCCCAGTCCGGTTTGTTTACCTTGACCTTCATTTCAAGGTCACAAGGGGACTTTAATGTTTTACTCTTGTCAGCGAGATATCTCAAGAACTGTTCACTAGATTTTCTTCATATTCAACACCAAGCTTTATCTAGGGAAAGCGCATGGCCCAGTCAATTGTGGTGACCTTCATATAATTTTCAAGGTCATGGCGACACTTTGAAGATTTCAGCATATTAACTTGCATGTTATGCTTGTCAGCGAGATACCTCAAGAACCATTCACCGTATTTTCTTCAAATTTGACGCCAAGCTTTATCCAGGAAAGGCGCAGGGCCCTGTTGATTTTGGTGACTTTCACTTAATTTTCAAGGTCACAGCAACTATTTTGAAGATTTCAGCATGTTAAATTGCATGTTAAGATAGTCAGCAAGATATCACAAAAAACGTTCACTGGATTTTTTTCATATTTGACACCAAGCTTCATCTAATGAAGGCGCAGGGCCCAGTTAATTTTGGTGACCTTTATCTAATTTTCAAGGTCACTGCGACACTTTGACGATTTCAGCATTTTAACCTGAATTCACTGGATTTTCTTCAGAGACTTTCAAGACTTCCCTTGAATATTTTTAATAGGCAATTTCTTTAGTACCATTTTTGCATATTTCATACACTATGACATTCATGTCAAAGTCAGTCTTGAAAATATTGTGTCTTTGAACAACGAAAGAGCAAGATATCAAGAGAGGTTGACTGGTCATGTTTTTGTTGACATTTAACTTCATTTAAACTTTCATTACTTTTTAAGTTTGATTTGATAATTTGCGGCGGGAGATTATGTCACCTTAGTGACAATGCTTGTTGTGTCTGTGATAAGCCTTGAATAGTGCTAAATATGGCTTAACACATACACTGAACTGCTTACGCAAAATTAGAGAATTTTTCAACAACTACAAACTATTAAAAATTTCCATCATTCCATCAACCTTTGAAGTAATGAACAATAAACTTAAATAACCTCATTCATTCTCGGGGCGGTAGGGTAGCCCAGTGGTTAAAGCGTTTGCTCATCATGACGGAGACATGGGTACATTGTGTGAAGCCCATTTCTGGTGTCCCTCGCCTTGATATTGCTGGAATATTGCTAAAAGCATCGACAGACTCTTATAACGGTGAATGTATGAATTGCAGACTGTGGCACAAAATTTGCTCACCAAGTCTCCTACATGAATGTCTGCATTGTGTAGAGACTGTTTCCCTCGTCTGGTGGATACACATCTGCCAAGAGAGTGGAAGGGTGCAGCTCATACCAGCGGGTGTTAGTGAAGACGATACCTTACCCGGGCTTGGCTCATCATCAAGGGAATGAAACAAGCACTTGCTGGCTGAGAGTCAGTATATCTGAGTGAGATAATCATGAACTGCTCCTCCGTGGGCCAGGAATATATAACTTATAACTGGTACAAGTCTTCACCTGTACATGCAGCCATAAACAAACAACTTTTATTATGAATAGATTTATTTTGAGTGAAATATACAGTCAGGTGACAGGAAATTGTACTCAAGGTTTCAAAATATACATCTTCCTTTGGGAAACAATATCATATACTCCAAATATGAGCCATGCTAAAAATCATCAATTCCATTTTGTTTCAATTTAAACAACATACTTTTTACTTCAGTCTGCTGCATGTGCGAAAATAAAGTAAATTTTACAAAAAAATATCAAGACGTGCAATGTAATATCAGAACACAATTGCTAAATCTCTACAAAATGCTGACATCACTGTTTGAACTACGAGGATTATCTCCCCTGGCCGTTTGTGCCAACAAGCTCCTTCCCAGCATGCAACACCTTCATTACCTTCCCAGTATATTATCACAGCCACCAGTGTGCAAGCAGCCATTTCAATATTTCCTCTAACCCCAAATGAAGTGACATTTTATGTCTTTGGGGATTCTGTTACAGTGGATTGAGAAATGGTTTTCGACTTACAATTTGACAGATGAATTTAAGCTTGTTGGTGAATCAGATTGATTCCACATTGCAGACAATTAGAAAAGTACCAAAATCCCCCCTTACATTATCACAGTCATGACTATTGTACTTCCTTATATGGTAATTGGAAAGAGGAGAAAGAAATAATTTATTACAAGAGTATTTGGTGTCAAAACTTGATTGTAAACATAAGGGTCCGTCATTTGTTCAAACTCTGTGCATGGTTGTAGGTCACCTAGTACTGTGGGGAACAGTGACTGGTGGCTGCAATAGTATGGGGAGCAGTGACTGGTGGCTGCAATAGTATGAAGAGCTTAGCGAACGGGCTGTCACTGTGAGGAGCTTGTTTGCAGGATCAAGTGTAGATTTCAAGATTCTGTTCTGTCTCTTTTGTGGGACTATCCTCACACTAAGATATCACTTTTTAGAATTGTGTCCCTTGTAAGGTTGAACCTCATTACTGATGCACCAAGCTGTGATTTGCCATATGCTTAGTTCTGTACGAATATGTATCACTTCACAAGTTCAGTAAAATATAATCACATAATTTTAAAACTGACATGCTGGTTAAAAATAAGTCAATTCTTCAGCCTGATCTTGCATTACTGTTTCAAACATTGGTAAGTGTCAAAAATGTTATTGGTCAGAAAACAAAACCTGGGGCCAGATCCACAAAGCGCCCCTGTATGCCAGCTACCATTTTACTTTGAAATATAATCATGATATATATTGTACAGCAAATAATATATTGTGACATCCACTGTATTGTAGTGTCAGCATATTTAAACAAGATCTCTCTTCTTTACAACAGAACACATAAATAAATACCTCAAAACGAAAAATATCCTGACAGCGAATCTTAATATATAAACAAAACATTTAGGAAATAGAATTAAAAATGCTGAAAAATATGCTAAACAAATGTTGCTTCTTACATCAAGCTTTACTTGCATGCTTAACAATTAAATGTTCTTGAATCAACATTTTTGACTGAAAGACATGATTGAGATGGGTGTCCACATACCGTAAATAGCTTTGAATTTACATTGGACACAAAACGTTTAAAAAGGTCTTGCATTGAAATCCTGCACACACAAGATGTCATTCAACTGATAGTCATCACGCAATCAGGTCTCATGGGGACTCCAAACTTTAAACTATTACTGCCTTCTCTAATTCTGCAGCTAATGAATTACAAATGACAAAAAATAATCAGTTTTATTGAGCAAATTATTACAAATAAAGAAAAAATGAGCACTTGCAATAAAATATTAGCATATCAGAATCAACTATATCATATTCATTCCCATTTAATTCCCGTGTAAGAATTCAAGTTCTGTGAAGTCAATAGAAAGAAAAATGCACAAATTACTTGCTAAAAGATTTGATGAATCAATATTGAAAAGAACTTTAACAAGTTAAGCCCAGGCAAAATCAAATTAACGATTCACTGGTAAAGTGTCCCTTACTGAATAGCCACACTCAACAGCTGAAGCGATATTGAGGATTAGGGTTTCAGTGTATATTTCTTCCAAAAATGAACACAGCATCACTGCTTTTTCAAAGCTAAAAATTGTTGGACTTATGTTTCACCAGATAGCTGAATGGCAGATTGTCAGTGCTTACTTTGATTTATGTTTTCTGAAACCAAATGAAAAAGCAAAAGGCAAAATGAATTTGGTGATGAACAAAAGGAAAACATGGAATTGAAGGTCTGAAATTCTGATTATGATTAACAATTTGTTTCTGTAAAAGAGATCCAATAGAAATATTCGCACTGCAATACTTTGTAATGGTGCATGAAATAGGCAGTCCTAACTTCCATGACTTCTGTAGTCATAGTCAACAAGTCAGTTTCACACAGCACTAAATATAGCATCATGGTAGCATTACGACAATCACAAGTCATCTTAGAGTATAGGAATTTACGATTGCCTCAGGAATACTAATATTACTTTGTGGAACAAAACCTGGACTGCACTGGAAAAACAGACAATGAAGCTAAGTCTCCTGGAGGGGCTATACCAAGAACTCCAGTAATCTAATAATTAAAGCGAGGAATTAAAGATAGGATACAAACAGTTAGTAGTTTTACATATATTGAGTTAGGAATAAGATTCTTGTTAACATAGCAGGAAAAAAGCAGACATTCTCTTGATTAATGAATCATTATGCTAAATACTCTCTAAGACAAACACTCAATACATGTAATGTTTGCCTATAAGCTAGCTCGGTGGGTAATTAAAACATAAACATACTTGACATTGAAAATGTTTAATGTGATAATTGTTTTGATTCAAAGGCATACATCACAGCATGGATATGTGAATCTCACTACTAACCCAACATAAGTCTTGCTTCAATTAGGTGATCAAGTGTTCTTGTGGAGGGTAACAGAATGTTCTGCTGTTCTTACTATGAAGGTGATTAAAAATACAAAGATTTGTTCAAATAAACTTGACTGAAGTCCTAAATCCATACTCTGTCCGCACTGAATGTTACTACTTTCCCACTGAAGTGACTGCACAACCAGATATTGGTTATATTCAAGGGCAGTAACTCTTATCGGTCTACATCACCTACAACTCGACAGTGAACACTTGCTGTGCAGTTTGTATTTTGCAATGCATCTTCTTTTCAACACAAACTAATCTGAGTGATATTCCATTTTGGTTTGTTTATAATCCTTTTCTAATATCATTCAAGTCATGTTATTAAGAAATATCAAAAACATACTAATTTATTTTGCTATCTTTTATGTCAACACATCAATAACCAACCAAAAGTAATCACCTCAGTATAGAAACTTAGTAACAAACACCGGTATCATTATTTATACTGAATTCCCATCCTCCATCTTCACAGTTAATTTTATGGAAGGAAAGCTAAAAGTTTTGGAAATGTGTTTCAAACTATCCAAGTGAATAGGTGCCATAAAAGTCTTGAGTTCACAAATCATCACAATATCTATGGTAACATACATCCAGTCAACACTTCCACACAACAAAATAAACAGGCTGAAACACTTGCATACACGTTATCGTATTGTTCACTTCAAGGAAAGAGTACCTGCAGATGCCATCCTGTAGAATTTATATGGCACTCAACTCCATCATTACTAATGGCCCAGCCATTTAATCTTCACTATGGCACGTTCAATTTGGGTTGTTTTGGCATCCTGATGTGAGAAAAAAATTCATTAGGTGATTTGTATTTTCAAAAATTGGATCATGTTTACAGATTTTACTTTGGCAGATAATTTAAAAAAATATTCCCCACAGATCTGGGTGCCATTGTACAAAACAACCTTAGCGCTACATCTGTTGTAAGTCTTTGTTAAAGTATCAGAGTTATGATCACCTTAGCGCTAAGAACTCTATATACAATGGCACCCAGGAGGCAATACTGTTGACCGTCTTACTACAGCAAGCCAGTTATTATGAACTGTATCTCAACATCAACATGCTATCTATAGTACAACCTTGCATTACATGCACACAGATATGTACACATATATCTACATTTATAATAAACCAGTGCTGTTTGAAACAGACCTAGTGTTGTAACTACATGCACACAGATATGTACACATATATTTACATTTATAATAAACCAGTGCTGTTTGAAACAGACCTAGTGTTGTAACTAAAACAGAGAAGTTTGGATCTATGTCAAATGATCCATGTGCATAAACTAGATACAATTCAGAGAAAAAACATAACAGGAAGTAAATAATTCTAAGTATAATCATTCTCAAAAATTGTGCAGATTAAAAGAATTTAGGGGTAATTTGTTTCCTATGAATTCATCCTAAGTATAAAAATCTATGGTTACATCATTGCATTGTTTATATGAACGGAGACCTTAAATCACACGAAATGTCTAATTGGAATATTTCTATTATTATTGCACAATTTAGGCAACCTTCCAAAACAATTATGGAACCTGATTCATTCAGTCACAAAATTAAGTTAGAAATTTAAAATACATTTAAAAGTGTAAAACTAAAAAAATGGAATGGTTTACATTTTCAAATGTAACACCTATAGCCATGCAAATTAATCTAACCATACAGCCTAAGCAAACAAAGTGAATTTCTCAAATACAGAAGTGTAAAACACAGAGCAATCTCTACATCCCAGAATGTTCCCGGCGTATCACAGTGGATCATAACCTAATGAGCAAACAAGGACATTTAGTTCCACAAACTGGCCACTAATATAAAGTAACAGTATTGAAAATCACAGTACATTTACTTTCACACAAGAATTGAGTATAGGTGTATCTTTAGTTCACTGTGGACATAATGACAATGAATCTCTCGGTTATATTTTCCATGGATATTGATCAGCAGATATGCTGTACAAAAATAGCACTGTTGACAGTGATTCAAGTTGTTATCTCCCTTTAATGAGGCAAGAGTGACCTCCCCTTGTTGATATTGTGTCACATTCACAATAGGCTGCGTCCTTCTGTGTGGAATAGATATCTTGTCAAAGAGGGACATCAGGAACACTCTTCATAAATTTCTGTAAAATACAGATGATATCTCATATGTTAATGTATTCAAAACATTGAAAATTTCACAAAAAGTATGTCTTGAAAAGTTATGTTCATCATAACCACTGACTATCACTGTCATACTTCACATATTACACATATTCATTTGAAATACAAATATTTCTCAGCTTATAAAAAAACTATAAACTTTCACTTTCAATACTCATATTACTTGTCAGAATGGCATGAACATACAAACAATAACAAAATTGATAATGATAAAATTGCTTTGAGTTGAAATAACTTTTCATTAATGAAATTAAACTTACACACAAATATAAATAATCTTTTGATGTCGCAGCTCTCAAATAATGCAGCCTAATTTATGAAATTTCATAGTTTTTATGTTTGGGTTAATTGAAATGAAATGGCAATGGGTCGTAGTAGCGCCTGGTCATCATGGAGTGGGCAGAGGGGTAGCCCAGTGGTTAAAGGGTTCGCTTGTCACACTGGTGAGTCAGGTTCGATTCCCCACATGGGTAACAATGTGTGAGCCAATGTTTGGTGTCCCCTGCCATGATCCTGCTGGAATACTGCTAAAGGCAGCGTGAAATACATGACGGCCCCATGTTTCAGCTCCAATTTTAATCACAAAATGATTCTTCAATGCAAATTACAACAAAGTAAAAACTATATCATGTCCTCAATCTGCTGTTTGTGCTATGTTTCTCTACTGACAAATCAGCAATGGCAAAAGAAGTGATTTTTCGTTGCCCCATGTTTCAACAGTATTTCAGTGGTATGAAGGTGTTTTTTTTTACAAATGGGGCAAAGAGTATAAAAAGGCATCTATAGCCATTTACCTCTGTGACACCATCAAACAAGTGTTTTGCTTTCACAGGTCTACACAGGGTCATGTAATATAAACAGATCCTAGTACTGCTAAGGGATGCAACTCCGTATAGCAATGCTGCAGTAAATATTGATCACAGGCCCACCATGACCACTTTTGAGGCTCTTGAGTTTTAAGAAATCATATTTAGTTATTAATTTACATAAATTACATTGTCATGGTTGTATATTCACTACATGTCTCCATCACCAGTGAATCAAAATGTCAGCGTAGCAGCATTGCAATTTTAACCAACCAATCAAGCCACAGCTTGGTTCCATCGAGAGGGACCAATGAGCGCTGAGAATATATCACACAAATGGCGATATTCATTGTATACTTTGTACAGCACCTCTAACGCCAACTACGAGAACTCCACACATTGCATCACTATGAGGCAGCGGAAGGCTTCACATAAGACTGGGCTTGTTTCACTTCCATAAGCTCCACACAGTGTCAGTATCCACAGACACTTGTAAATACTCCATCCCAAAGGTGCTAAAGGTGTTCACAAGTTACTGAAGAAGTTTGTATTGATGACATGCGTAATGTAATATCTGAACTGTCATATTCAAATGTGCTCCACTTAAGAAATAGGTTTTAAAAAAGAAAGATGGTAAAAGTATTTGTCATCATTGAATTAAGATGATGAGAAGCAAGATACACTTCACCATTAATTCCATCCCCCATGCTCATGCTTTCCATGGGACTTCTACCTTGGAGTAACTACGGTAACCACAAACCTTCTGGCTCCTGTTGAAAGTCATCCAAATCTTCATACATTTCTTCCGGCCTATAAGTGACAACAAATACCATCACCATTTGATATATACAGGTATATACGACAAATATCACAGGCTGTCTGTATCGCACATCTCAGGGATTACTTCTCATAGTTTATGAACATTATATGGTCTCTGCTAAAATATTTAATAGTTAATTAGCAAATTGGCATTTTCTGTTATATGTCTGTCTAAATACTTGTCCAATTTCCTTCTGAGCAGATTATATATAAGAAACAAGAAAAAATAGTGCTTCCAAAGTTTGCAACTGAAATCCTTCAGATGTTGCTGATGAGAGACAGCCTGTGAATATTAACCCTTTCAACCACTGATAACATATTGGATGTTTATGCTGAAATACTGCACCAGTTTCAGTTAAATTGTCACTTTCATATATGAAATATTCTTAAAGAAAATGCTTCCCAAATTTTAGGACAATAATAATTTTGACTTTCTTGAAACATGAACATATTAACATTACAAATGTCAAAACATTATTTCATCAAAAAATGCATTTGTTACAATTTGTCAGCATTCTGAGGGTTTATTGGAACATGCACACTGACAAATTCCAATTTCTTTTGAAACTGGTCCATATGTCAGTGGAGGGATAGTTACAGCTGAGTCCATCTTTTCCTGGGAATCACAAAACAGAGTCCCACACAAACAATGGATCGTACATATGTGTTAGTTATGTTGAAGCACAGAGACACACATGCGTTAAGCCAACAAGCATGATGTTAACAAAATGATGGCACAACGGAGAAGAAGTTCATCACATGCATTGTGAAAATTTGATAAAATGAGAAAAGACAGCATCAAGCTGCTTTGATTCCAGCGACAACACTCTGGCAACATTTTACCTAATATTGAAATACAATCATATGCAAACATTGACATTCTGAGCAATGAAAAGCGAACAAGTCATATATTCAGAGCAGAATATATGACTTGATAAGAGCAGATAATTAAGGTTTGAATTTTGTCTGTTTTGTCAGTGGGTGCACAGTCAGAAAATGAAAGCATGATTGAAAATATTAATTCAATTGTCACAAGAGCGAAGAAAAAATCCAAAAGGGAATAAAAACAGGGTGCAAGCATATTACAAGCATTTCTTAAGAATGGCTGACTTTCACAATGACATGGTGAAATCCTTCTTTGATCCTATGGTGAGAACAGAGACCATATAATAGATTATATGGTCTCTGGTGAGAACAAAACTAGATGTGATGACACTAACAGTTCCGGTCACTGAACGACCTTCCCAGCATGCTTTGTGTCCATGCAACATTCGGCATAGACGACTCACCCAAATTCCCCCTCCATGGCAACAGGGGTATCAACTACTTTCATGGCCTGTGAAGGATGAAGCGGACAGTGAAATGGCTGATGATATTGAGGATGAATCATATAATGGCATGGTTAGAGAAGAGCTAACAGCAGGAATGTATATACGTTAATACTTTGTTGTTACATAAGCACAGAAGTATTTTTACACAAGAAATATTTTCAACAAATCAGATAAGTAAGATCATTATTCTGAAATTGTTGAAGGTAAACTTATACTAAAATTTAGGAATGACACTAATTTCTACTAAAATTTGATGATTGTTAAGACATATTTTCAATTTTCAAATTGTTTTGAATTAAAGTTTAAAAAATGCTGGAAATTATGTCATGCATCAATTATTTCTCCAATGTGAAAAATCCTGGCATAAACTATTGTTAATATTGAACATAATTATTCTAAATGGTTTTCTGCAAAATGGGAAATGGAAATTCACATGGGGAGAGAAGGGGAAATATTTTACTGGACCAACACTTAAACCAGATCATGTCAAGAATCTAGACATGCTAAAATGAAACAAACTCTGTCAATCCTTTGATCAAACATAGTAACACATTCATGGTTTCTTCGTGCATGGTATAAAAGGTCAGATATACAATGATATGTACATGAAACGTAACCTTTAAAAATCTACATATTATGATATAACCAATAATTGTTTCTTTCTTCAAACACGACCTGCATGATACTGTCGATATGACTCTAATTAGAGACACTTTCCCTGATGATTATTCTCTACAATGATTACTTTATTGATGTTACACCCCAGTTCTGATGCTAAAAGCAAAACTGAATTGTCCTAAATGGAAATCTGTCTTCATTAAATTGAGGTTAAACCATAAACAATACACATAAACGTTCAAAAATACAAAAATACACAAAAAAACTATTTTTATTCTGAAGTTGAATGAAATATGTACAATTATATAAGCATAAATAATTATATATGTAATAAATTATACAATATTTGGCACATAAAAGGTATAATACCCTAAGAATAATTTGATGAACATGATGGGTATGGGGTACCATTCAAAATAAAACCATCCAAACAAAAAGAAAATTAGGCCAAAATATCACTGTGGTTCTAATCAATGTTAAACAATGGTGAAAAACAGAGGATGAAGACTTGCCTCATCACTGAGAAGATACACATGAAGCACCTGTATAGATACAGCGTATCCAGGCAAACTTGTTGATCCCTGCCCTGATATGGCCAGAATAATGCTAAAAGTGGTGTAAGACAATGCTTACAAACTCCGACATTGACACGGCCTGACAAGGTCATGCATGTACGATCCATTACAAAACATAGAAGCAATTGAAGTTACAACATTCTGGCACCACTTCAGAACTGCAATAAAGTCTGTCTCCCAAACCAGATTGTCAAGTCACTGACCCAGAACCAGGTGTTTCATTTTTCAGCCTTAAAGGAGTGCAGGTTCGAGAATAAAAATCATATACATAATGAATGAAATGCTAGACTATTTCTAAAGGCGAAACTGTCACCAGTGCACTAGTTAATACATGCAGCAGGATTTGATGGGGAGTGGTGGAGAACTGTCACAAGGCCTTATATGTTTTCTTAGCTGGTTTACACACTGCAACTAAAAACATTGATTCTGTTTTACAATTAGATAAAATGAAACAAGTATGAGATTTTATAACCACTATTATTAAGAAATGGTGAAAATATTAACACAAATCTTTATTCTAACAAAATATACACAAGCTATTTCCTTTCGGTAAAATTTTGCATTTGTACTTCCTTGATTGTGCGACCCTTGAAGTTTTTTTAATTACTTTGTCGCAGTACAGATCAGGGAGATGAAAAGTATTTCATTTTTTGAACATCTAAACTGAATTTAGTCTGTTTGTTTGTTTGCAAACCAACCAATAAAAGATAAAAGGCAGCAGATACACCTGGTACTGTTAAGCTCCTTTTCTCCAGGTGTGCTCCTTCATGAGATGCTAAATCAGGGTACGTTCACAACACCTAGTAAAAAGGGTTGATTTGAACTGATCAATCATACTTTGTTTCATATTTTTCAAACAAAAGTAAGTAAAAGTTGCCATATCTACTCTATGAAACTTGAAAAAAGAAATATGCATTAATTATTAGTTTTTCTTTAAATAAAGGAATGAATAAATGTATTTCACCCTCAACAAAATTTTGAAAAAAACATTTTCTATTTTATGAAACAAAGTTTGATTGGTAGATTACTAGTTGACGCCTTCATTGATTTTTGATTGGTGTGTGGATCAATAGACTAGGATGGATTTCTAATAACAGAAGTATTTCTTCTCCCAAAGTTATATATACTTACTGAATTGTTCTGTATGTGTGATAAAGAAGGTGTTATCTATATCTTTTCAATTTACATCCATGTTCAAAATGTCTGTAAGGCCACAACCCATTTTCAGGGTAAATAAAAACCTGAAAATGTATTTTCATTTTTAACTACAGTAGAGTCCATAAACCAATCAAACCGAAGTAATCACTGACAAGTATAAAACCTCAAACTAGGAACATGTTAACTGATAAAGAAGTTCAGTTTTGACCACTCCATACAAAAACAGGGGAGATAATTACAGTTTGTCGGTACTGGTAGTAGTCTTGAGGTCGAATCCGAATAATGTACTCGATCATTGCCTGGTGGCCATGAACAGATGTTATCATAATCACAATCCGTGAACATTTGATATTTTGTAATGTTCGAAACAACTTTTTCTTTGAGTTTGGCATCAAAAACTTGATTCAAACGTGACCACTGATGATTTATTGAGAAGGAAGTGTCATTATGTCTTAAAAGCTTTCAGATATTTCATTCCAGGTTGCTAAACTGCCATTGTACAAAGCAGCCATTGTGCTATGACAGTCGTAGGTCTACGTAAGTTATTGGAGTTACGATCACAGTAGTGCTAAGATCACTTTGTACAATAACATCCAGATCTTATAACCCAGATAGCATTCGGACGTTGACCCAACGTTGGCAATGTTGGCAAAACCATTGCCAACGTTGAGCCAACGTCTAAATGCTATCTGGGAACAAGCTTACAGAATTTATCTTTTTCTGACATGTTTCTCATATTCATAACCTATGAAAGAACATGGAATTGCTACTTGACAATATACTCATGGAAACAAATAAAGGAACACATGAAAGTACAAGTGTTCCTTTATTCATTCCGAGAATTTCACCCACAGTGCAATATATACCTTGTGAAGAAACCTGGAAAAGAATAAAGGAACACTTGTACGTTCATGTGTTCCCTTATTTGTTTTCATGAGTATATATCATTTCATGTCAGAGATGTTGCTACTGAGATAAATGGTATGAAAGTAGGACATGACCAAACACAGAAACGTTCAGAACCATGTCAAGACCTAATTGATAATGCCAACTGTAATTTTGATTTATCATTTTCAGAAAAAAAAACATCTGTCCTATAGCTGTCCAATACCATAACTTTCTTATCATATACTACTAAAGGCTGAAGATTGTTTTATGGATTGTAAACATGCCAAAAAAAGGAGAAAAAACAAAAACATTCACTTTTTGAAAGAAATATCAAAAAAAGTATTCATATATTTTCCATCTAACACATAACTTTGTATTCTTCATAATTATTCTTGCTAAAATTTGTGCAAAAAGTTGAAAGAATGGAAGGTGTTGTCATCTCAAAACATGCACTATGCTATGTCCTGCCATACTGTTTCAGTGAGTGAGTGAGTGAGTTAAAATTTAAAGTCAAATCGGCAGTATTTTAGCCATACCGTGACTATGAAAGTTGTAAATTTATAAATGAACATGCCGTTTGAACTACAGGTAAACTTTCTAAGTAAAGACTCTGGACCCATTCACTAACATAGCTTGTTTTTCGTTGATGTTCAAGATGTTATAAAACTGATTTTAACACCCTCATCAAATTAAATAATTTAACAGACTCTTTCTTATGTCTTTTTTGCAATCAAAATTTGTTGAAAACACTGAACCACTAGTGATTTAGAACATAAAAAGCATATTCTCCTATCATTAAAGTTTGACTGTGAGATGTATACATTTCCAAATCATGATAATTAGAGGTGTGACGATACAGAAATTTCCCGATACGATACGTATCGCGATATCTTGGAACGATACGATTCGATTCGATGCATATCACGATATGCTTTCTTTAGTTATTTTCCTTCAAAAATCATATTTTAATCGCAAGAAATTTTGACATAACCATCAATATCTAGTGAAAATTAACAATTTTAAGGTCAACGATACATATCACGATACGAAAAAACGTATCGATATATTTATCGTCAGTTAAAGTATCACGATTATCGATACTACGATATATCGTCACAGCTCTAATGATAATGTTTTTCAGTGACCACTACCTTGCAAGGTTCAACTTGTGGAATTGGTAACATAGTGATTGTGGCACAATATAAAATAGGTCTAAAACAAAACATGAACATCGCATACCAAATTGTGTAAATACTCTGGACCTATTCACTACCATATTGTGTTTTGGAAGTGATATCATCACCTTCGTCACCTATTCCTCTAATCAGAGAATAACTTGATTCAGTTATTGTACTCAGTGTTGGGTGATTCGAATAAAGCTCACACCAAAGCTGTGCAGGCAAATGGCCTTTAGATATATCCCTGAATAATGGTGGGTGTTGCTGGGTATAGCAGGAAGGAAGAAGTATATGATGTCTGATGGTATATGCAGTACGTGGCAGGAGTTGTACATTGTAGAGGAGCGCCGTGTCAACCACAGGGGAGATACCATAGTTATCACACCAGCTGAAGAATACTACCTGAGTAGTAGAATCTATTTGTCACAACCACTGTGAAAGGTGGGCCTGTGTTTAGACATTCATAATGTATCAACATGGCATCAAGACAAGGTTAAATCTGCTGCCTTCACACACAAATTCCTAGTAGACTCTCAATGTGGATTCAATACCCAAACATTCTAGCTATGACTTGTGTGGCAGAGGTAACCATAGCGGCTGTCAAATACTTATTTGATACGAAAACATCAGGTAAGACCAACTCTCGGATGTGGAATAGGTGTCCACAATGGCTACAAAATATGGTTGGCAAACTCAAGAAGAGTAACTTTCAGATGTAGAATAGGTGTCTACAATAGCTACTTCATGGGGTTTGCTACTGGCTAGGGCAACACCAAGAGGCAACCTGTCAGATATCCCCCTGTTGAACGATTGCCACTGTACACCAGGGCCTAGATTTCGAAGCTCTCTTAGAGCTAAGATAGTCGTAAGTTAATGTTAATGTATGGCACTTACGACTGTCTTAGCGTTAAGAGAGCCTCGAAAATCTAGGCTCAGGAGCTGATCATGCTAGTTATCCCCTGTTATCATATATCTGTAATATCTAAAACTTTCCCTACCTCTTTAGGAATAAAACTCACTGGGCTGAGTCAGCTATCATAAAGCAGTGCCCTCCTTCAATCTGATCTGACTTCATGCAAGACTCAGCAAAACAGATAAGTTCGTGTATATCTTATCCATGTGAAAAGTTGAATACATAGCATAGAATACCTTCGGATGCATATCAAACGAAAGAAACCATTTGACATGGCCAGGATTACATTCCAGTGTTTGACAATTTACATGAGAATCTATAATATCCAGCTATCATACTTTGGTGTTTTCTTCGTTGATGTTCAAGTTGGTAAATAAACTTTCTTTAACATCCTTCTCAAGTTTAAACATTTAACAGACTCTTTCTTATGTCTTTTTTTGCAGTCAAAATTGGTTGGAAACACAAGTGATTTAGAACATAAAAAGCATATTCTCCCACGATATGTTTGACCGTGTATACTTTTCCAAATCAGGAGAATGTTTTATCAGTGACCACTGCCTAGCAACGTGGAACATGTGTAATTGAAGCTATAGTGATTGTGGCACAATAGAAAATGGTACTTAAACACAACATGAACATAGCATACCAAACTGTGTAGAAAAACATTTAAACATTTCACAAACGTTGCATACAACAAATAGTCAAAAAAAATACATTGATATGGTGCAAATTTAAAAAAGCTGTGAAGAAAATAAAATAAACATAATACCTCCAAACTACTGGCTAGGTCCTGTGTGTGCTGTATACAGCAAAAAGCATTAATGACATACTGAAGCTGAGCTGTATATATTGATATTCCATGGGCATTCTAGACGTTGGTGAGTGACTACGAAAATTTACAACTTTATGGATAGCAACTTCTGGTTGAATGCATTAGCTATGTTCGATGCCAGCTTAATAATGGATGTAACCTCAACACACTGCTATCACAATAAGCCAGAAGTTGTAATCCATAAACTTGTAGTGTGTATTATTGATATTCTAGCTGGTTGAGAGGATATAGCTTCTATGACTGTATCACTGGTTAGTGCACTCACGATAATAAACTTTAATGTGTTCTCCTACAAGGCCGTGTAAAGATATGTGTTCTTGTCAGTCAATAGGAACACATTCCTCTACATGGATAACCACAGATAAAGTGGAATTATTGAAGCAGCATGTTAATGAGAAGGCCATAGGTAAAGCACCACAACTGAACACCCCATTAAAACTATGCATATAGTGGAACTCCTTTACTTATCATCTAGTAGAAACAATAAGCTGGTAGTACAGTAGGTTATATCATAATTAATATCACGTCTTTATGTATATTGATACGTTTAATATTTAGGTTGTCAATTAAAAATTGAATTGCTTCATTTACCAAATCAAAATGTCTAGATTGTATTTTCAGACTTTGTAAAACAATGGACACGTGTTTTCGATGTATGACATACCTTTTTAATTGCAGTTTCTTCTATATCAATATTCTTTGATTCCACATAGCCATCTGGAAAACAAGTGACAAATCAATATTATTATCACCCTAACATTGACATTAATTAACATAAAATCAACAGAAGTAAAGGAACAGTGAAACCAGGCACAGGTGACATCGACATGTGACAGGGCATCATTGTCCACTGACCTGGAGTAGTGAGTGAGTGAGTGAGTGAGTGAGTTTAGTTTTACGCCGCACTCAGCAATATTCCAGCTATATGGCGGTGGTCTGTAAATAATCAAGTCTGGACCAGACAATCCAGTGATAAACAGCATCAGCATCGATTTGCGCAATTGGGAACCGATGACATGTGTCAACCAAGTCAGCGAAACTGACCACCCGATCCCGTTAGTCGCCTCTTACGACAAGATAGTCGCCTTTTTATGGCAAGCACATGGGTTGTTGAAGACCTATTCTACCCCGGATCTTCACGGGTCCTGATCTGGAGTAAACGATACTGATGGAAATGATGCTGTTGTTGATGTAGCTTAGAATCTACATGCATCTAACTAAGCCAACTATATGTCAGTATTATAGAGAAGTTGTACTTCAACAACAAGTGTAGAAGTGAGCACAGCTCACAGACCCTCGCCTCCCACTCTACGACATGGAAATGACTGATATTTAGGAGATAAACGTACTGTGTTTGGAAATTAGATGAATGTTAGACCGAATTGATAGTCTTTAAATTAATCATTTAAAACCTCACACTCGGCTTCAAATGAAATTTAGAGACTATTAATTCGGTCTAACATTCAACTAATTTCCAAACACAGTATGTTTATCTCCATTCTACCATAACCGATTTAAAATCGAACTTCGTCGTCCTGCGGAAGATACTGCGTAATCCGGCATGGGACGAAAGCCGAATTGAACTCGTCTGTCAAGGGAGTGGTAGGTGACGTTCGTATATTTTTTAAGATACCAACATAAAAAATATTCTGTCCAAAGAAAACAAGCTACTGTTTATTCAATGCAATCATGTAACACCTAAGAGCTTGTTTTTTATAATCATCACTCCACACGACCAACACCAGCCTATTGTTTTGTGTGCCGTGTTACTGTACCCCCTGGCCACACTATAATGGAATCGTCTGACCTACTTATTTTCTTGGAAGTAGACAGTTACGCAATGTCAGACGAGCCAGTGTTTACATTTTGCGAAAGGTCGAAATTCGAAGTGACACTGGAAAATACTTGGGCCCAATACTTGACTGACTGTCCAATCTGAACCCTGCAGAATCAAAGAATAGATCCTTTTCTGATCGACCTACCGCCTGTAACTCATCAAAGACTGTTGATTTTTATGACCGGCAAGTGTCAATCATGATTTCATGCCTCTACCCCGGCATGCGACAAAAGAGTGACAGTGCTGCTTTGTGTACATGCGGCGAACTTGGGATTCTTTGGAACATTGTTCTCATCATTTGGGACTGGATTGTGGCCAAGCTTTTTTCAAAGTGTACGAACATGACAGCCTTGTCGGGAAGGTGGCAGAGAGCGGAATTCTCGAGGTTAAATTTTTGACAGTTTGAACAATGCAACAGGACATGATGGAGTATGAGTGGCATAAATTTTCTGTTTCGCCTGACCGTTATCTTGCGAAAATCACATTCTAAACGGAAACAAATATACCATTTACCAGGTAGGTACATGTTTACGAACGTTTTGCTGCACAAATCGGGATTTGTAAATTCTGATAAACTTTAAAATATTAAAAGGCACATCCGTGGGTCATGATTGAAGGTTTGGTGAACCTAGCCTGTTTCGGTGATATGCTCCAAACAAGACATACCATCAAACACATTTTGCACTAAATCGTGTTTCCATGGAAACAGCAAAAAATAAAATTCTGATAAACTTCAAAATAGCCAAAGGCACATGTAAGGGTAACGATTGACATGTATGTAAAGTTTGGCGAACCTAGTATGTAGACTTTAAGAGATATGCTCCAGACAAAGTTTCGGGGTGGAAGGAGTGGACTGAAGGACAAAATGAACGCTATATACCTCCTTTATTTCGTAAGCGGGCGTATAATAACATTGTTAAAGTCACAGAATTCATTCAAAAAGTGATATTCATTAATTGGGATTAAACAATATAATTGATATGATTATTGATGCAGTTGTATGCAAGAATTCACTGGCAATTCACTGGCCAATGAGTCTCATGATCTTCCCAAACACAATTATACATGTCACTTGAGAAGCTTGAAAAGTGCATTGATGAGGGAGGTAACTCTTACATGTTCCTTCTCTGTTCATCACAAGCCACTTCCCTGCTGGGTTTTCGGTCATCCGGATGATGTCCAGTATCTCTCCGGTCTCCACTGCCAGCTCTGTCTTCCCGCCCTTAGCCTTGGCCCTCACCACTCCTTCAGCGGTTTTCTTTTCGTCTCCAGTTAGCTGACATCAAGAAAACAAAGTTAACTTCACAACATTTCATGCACATATTTCCCACATAAAGGCTTTTTTAGTTTGATTTTTGTGTTTTTGCCGTTATCGCCTCACTCAACATCATCGTAGCTCTATAACAGCAGACTGCAAATAACTGAGTTCTCAACCAGACAGTTCAGTGGTATCAATCTACACATTCGGCATGCCATCCATCAACAATGCAAGCCTGACCATCCGATCCGTTTGACTTTCAAGACAATGTCCATATTTACCTTGAACTTCTTTCTGATTTCTTTCTCCTTCTTTTCCTTTTCCTTTCTCTCTTTCTCAAGTCTTGCCTGGAAACAGAACAGGACATAAACCCTACCCGAACACTGCACAAATCAAAATAGTTGAAATCTGTAAACAGACATGTCCTTCAATGGTAAATACCATAGTGATCTACTCATGTCATATGATTCTATCAGTCTAAGTAAACTTAGGCTCAGTAAAAAAACCTTGTGGAAGGTCGCGTCAGCTAACCTTTGAGCCGTCCAATCAAAGGCAAGACGGCCGAACGGATTTAACCAATCAGACAATGGCTACTATTTAGGGTTCAGTGGGACTTACAAAATGGATTTTCTTGTCCCCGGTCGCCAACACTGAACGTACGGAAAATAACAATCGAAATCAAACGTTTCGAGGTAAAAGTTCAAAAGGTATGTACGAATGTCCACTTTCGCGATTTGGTAAGCTGTGTTCTGATTGGTCAATTGGAAAGGTTACCTGACACGACCTTCCACAAGGTTTTGTTAGACTCAGTATAGCAGTGTAACGAATAATACTGAGCCTAAGTTTACTTAGACTGATGATTCTATTAGCTTAAAGCCTTTTGGTTATGTCACCTGTTACCCTTTAATTATGAATTTTGACCTTTGACGTGAGGTTGGTATATGGTATAACAAGTATATATTTGAAAAAAAGTCTTTACTTGTTCTGCCTTTTCTTTCTTTTCTCTCTCTTTTCTTTCCTTATCTTCTTTTTTCTTCCTTTCTGCTGCTTCTTTAGCCTTCCTCTCTTGCTCCTTCTTGTCTTCCTGAGCACTGACCCTACAGACAGTGTCAGAATCAAGAGGACATGAATATCACCCTACAGACCATGTCAGAATCAAGAGGACATGAATATCACCCTACAGACAATGTCAGAATCAAGAGGACATGAATATCACCCTACAGACAATGTCAGAATAAAGAGGACATGAATATCACCCTACAGACCATGTCAGTATCAAGAGGACATGAATATCACCTTACAGACAATGTCAGAATCAAGAGGACATGAATATCACCTTACAGACAATGTCAGAATCAAGAGGACATGAATATCACCCTACAGACAATGTCAGAATCAAGAGGACATGAATATCACCTTACAGACAATGTCAGAATCAAGAGGACAAGAATAGCATGCTACAGACAATGTCAGAATCAAGAGGACATGAACACCCGACAGACCATGTCAGAATCAAGAGGACAAGAATATCATTCTACAGACAATGTCAGAATCAAGAGGACATGAATATCATCCTACATACACTGTCAAAATCAAGAGGAAGAGAATAGCATCCTACAGCCAATGTCAGAATCAAGAGGAAAAAAATATGATCCTACAGACAATGTCAGAATTAAGAGGAAGTGAAATGATTAATATTGGGTGAAAGAGATTATCATATAGACAATGAGAAATGTACACAAATTAAATTGAACATTATATCTAGGCTTAATACTCATGGCCCATAAAAAATCTTGTATGCAAGACTTGTTTAAACACCGAGGAATGCCATATTGTTTCCAGTAAGCGACAAATTATCGTTGTCAGTGAATTGTCAAAAAGAAAATTGTGAAAATGAAATATAGCTGTGGTGAACTTTGCAGTGAATATTCCTAATAGCGAAATGTGAATCACCAATATATATGCTGAAACAATAAGTGAAGTAGAAAACATATGTAACAAATTCACAAACTTTACTGTTAAAGAACATAAGATATAATGAACCAGTCCCCTGCTGACCCTTCTGAATTTGTGTAACATCTTCACTGGTACAGAGACACGGCTGATACAGAGCATGCATACAGGCAGTAGGGCTGGGACGGGTACTCGGGTACTCGAATCCGGGTCGGGTATAGCTGGAATCGAGAACCCGGAAAAAGGAGAAGGGCACATAATAACTTGTCTTTTTCATCATTGACGTAACACACATTTGCATCATTGGTATTGTCCGATTAATGGAGGTCATTATTAACGACTGTATATATCTGAGCATGAGCAGTGAGGAGTCAAGTAACAGTAACAGCGGTAACAAATTAACGAGGAATGTTAGTAATGGTGTTACTCTCTATATTTGTTAAATAAACGTAAATTAAATAGCCTACGTTCAGTTTCAGTGTCTCATTGCCATCCTTTCAAAGTTTGTATAAAAATCTCTGTCAACTCGTGATTGAATACTAGTATTCAGAAAGTTGACAGAAGCGCTTTATTCCTTACATTTCCGGGTACTCGATTCCAATTCGGGTACGTACATGCGGGTACTCGATTCCATTTTTTCTTACCTGTCCCAGCCCTAACAGGCAGGGACTGACTGACTGACTGAGTTTGGTTTTACGCCGCTTTTAGCAATATTCCAGCAATATCACAGCGGGGGACACCAGAAATGGGCTTCACTCATTGTACCCATGTGGGGATTCGAACCAGGGTCTTCGGCGTGACGAGCGAACACTTTAACCACTACACTACCCCACCGCCCCTACAGGCAGAGATGTAACCACTGCTTCCTAGGTCTTGTACATCAGCCAATATTGGTTTGAAAACAAGTAGTTTAGGGTAATCATTAGCATGTGAACCTCCAGAATATATTTGATAAAAACTGTGACAATTATGGTCATGGCAGAATAATCATCATCATCGTTATGCTCCAAAATCTGAACTCAATTACAAAGAGACATTGTTTTCCATGACATGTAGCTAACAAGATGTTACTGCTATTTTTACTTTAGTCTATTTTATATTTCTCAAAGTCAAGCTGCACAGCTGCATTTGGATTTCTGATGACAAAAGGTGATGTGCTTTCTTGCCTTCAGTGAAATGTGAAATTACCCTTTAATTTGAGAAGAAACGTGAAGGTGATATAGATTGTCATTAATCTTGTAAATTTCAAGCGTATTTATGAGATAGAGGAAGTAAAAAAATTAGTGCAAATCCTATAATGAATAAACCAAACAAAATTGATTACTTCTTTGTTGGAATAACCACCTCTGGTTTTTCAATTCTACAAAAAGAAAAGGACAAATAAGTTCCTTTAAGTACCACCAAACTCACGGTACAAATAGACCAACTACAATACTGGGTTAATATTCAAGTGTCGATGAGGAAATGGAGAAGGCGAATATCATCCTACAAACAATGTCAGAATCAAGAGGACACGAGGCTATTTTTAATTTGATTTCATTTTACATTTCTTCAGGTCCATGTTACATTTGATGTTTTGATGACAGATGGAGATGTGCTTTCTTAACTTTCCGTGAAACATGAAGTTGACAGATCTTCATTAATCTTGTACATTTCAAGTTTATCTTATCAGTTATATAAATGGGAAGAAAGAAATCAGTGCAAATCCGACAATAATAAAACAAAACTGATTACGTCTTTGTTGGAATCACACCCTCCGGCTCTAGAATTCTACAAAAAGAAAAGGATAAAGAAGTTCCTTTAATTGTGAGGTATTATTAACCACCAGCTCTCAGGGATCTTCAGCTATGGTGAGAGTATACATACTTGCCAGTTCTAAATACAAATAGACCCACAGCACTGGGTCAATATTCAAGTGTCAAGGAGGAAATCAAAATTGTTAACCTTTTCTTCAGAAACATTTCATATGATCTCTCGGGGCAACATAGACAGTTAGCATGGCCAGATTACAACAGTGCTCAGTGTAGGTAACAGTCATTGAAGTAATTTGTTTAGGTTTTGCCAATGCTGGAAGTAATAACTCACTCATCATCTTCTGGGAGTGGCTCATACAGCTCATCCTGCTCTGCCTGAAGAAACAAACATATCACAATGTTAGGTTGCATAAGACCATAGAAGACCTGAGTGTGACATACATACTGCATCTTTTCTGCTTTATGGCAGTCATTCATATAACTCTCTTGTGAGTGATGGGTGAGCTGGTTGGTGAGTTGGTGGTTGGGTGCATAGCTGGGTGGGAGTGAGGGAATGGGTTTTGGTGGGCGAATTAATGAGTGAGTGAGTGAGATTTGGGATAGGGATGGGGTGGTGGGAAGGCAGATGAGTGAGTGAGTGAGTAAGTGAGTGTTTACAACTTAGGTGAAATCCACAAGGAGGTGTATGGTACCGACATAGATACACCATCAGTGTGAATCAGGGATACCAAAACCAAATGATAGTTTTCTCCACAGCAAACTGCAGTATATCAGATGACAACAACATCATCAGTACACTGTAGACATGTATTTTATGGCAGCCAAACATATTCAGAAATTGTCCTTGCTAGTATTGTGAAAATATTCATGTGTTCATGCTTCAAAACAACCCTCCAGTTTTTATCAAGCATGTATTTAACAGGGCAATTTTTCAATGATATTTGAAATTAGAATGATTCAACTTACATCATCATATATCTCCTCTGTGATGGGTGCTGAAATACAAACAGGCCTCCATCTTAGTTCTCAATGTCGCAACAATCACTGATGTCATAGCAATGAACTTTTTTCACTTATAAACTTCAAGTTACATTGCATAATATGAGCAACACCACAAACATCGGGTGTCTGCCAGTTCTTGCCAAAACCCATCACTGCCATTTCTTCAAAGCTCAAGGTCTTGAACTACTATAAACTTCCAGTCCACTATATTACTTCCATATCCAACACCCATGGCATAGTGGGATTCATCAACTACACAAGTCTCAGGATTGTACAAGTGGAACAGAAACCGACAATAAATGATACAACCATGTTACACGCTAGAGTCAAATCTGACCCTGACTTTTATGCCAAAAATCCCCTGGGGTACTGGGAAGAAGTCACAGACACGTTGGTCCAACAAACATGATAAGCAGTCCCATTTCAAGGGCTGTTAAATATACTGTAAAGAAGTGTAGTTTGCTTCGTGTAGATGTTGCTGCTTTCTGACATGCAAGGATCAAAACCTCTAACTGGTTCCAGCACATACAATGTGCCATAAGGGCATTTGCTTGTTCGTACCATAATACAACTACATCACAACAGTCTGTAAATGTATATTCCAGATTACCATGTCTTTTAACAAGCATGCTGGGGGACTTCTAAATTTGCTCACCTTGCATGGAGCCCCCTGATATTGAGGCTGACCCTCCTGATGCTGAGGCTGACCCCGCTGATCCAAAATCCCTCATCTCCTCCTCCTCCGTCATCTCAGCGCTGGAACAAGCAACAAACATGGAACAAGCAACAAACATGGAACTAGCAACAAACATGAAACTAGCAACACACATGGAACAAGTAACAAACATGGAACAAGCAACAAACATGGAACAAGCAACAAACATGGAACAAGCAACAAACATGGAACTAGCAGCAGACATGGAACAAGCAACAAACATGGAACAAGCAACAAACATGGAACAAGCAACAAACATGGAACTAGCAGCAAACATGGAACAAGCAATAAACATGGAACAAGCAACAAACATGGAACTAGCAATAAACATGGAACAAGCAACAAACATGAAACTAGCAGCAAACATGGAACAAGCAACAAACATGGAACAAGCAGCAAACATGGAACAAGCAACAAACATGGAACTAGCAATAAACATGGAACAAGCAACAAACATGGAACAAGCAACAAACATGGAACTATCAATAAACATGGAACAAGCAACAAACATGGAACAAGCAACAAACATGGAACTAGCAGCAAACATGGAACAAGCAACAAACATGGAACAAGCAACAAACATGGAACTAGCAGCAAACATGGAACAAGCAACAAACATGGAACTAGCAATAAACATGGAACAAGCAACAAACATGGAACTAGCAGCAAACATGGAACAAGCAACAAACATGGAACTAGCAATAAACATGGAACAAGCAACAAACATGGAACTAGCAGCAAACATGGAACAAGCAACAAACATGGAACTAGCAATAAACATGGAACAAGCAACAAACATGGAACTAGCAGCAAACATGGAACAAGCAACAAACATGGAACTAGCAATAAACATGGAACTAGCAACAAACATGGAACAAGCAACAAACATGGAACAAGCAACAAACATGGAACAAGCAACAAACATGAAACTAGCAACAAACATGGAACAAGCAACAAACATGGAACAAGCAACAAACATGGAACTAGCAGCAAACATGGAACAAGCAACAAACATGGAACAAGCAACAAACATGGAACTAGCAGCAAACATGGAACAAGCAACAAACATGGAACTAGCAATAAACATGGAACAAGCAACAAACATGGAACTAGCAGCAAACATGGAACAAGCAACAAACATGGAACTAGCAATAAACATGGAACAAGCAACAAACATGGAACTAGCAGCAAACATGGAACAAGCAACAAACATGGAACTAGCAATAAACATGGAACAAGCAACAAACATGGAACTAGCAGCAAACATGGAACAAGCAACAAACATGGAACTAGCAATAAACATGGAACTAGCAACAAACATGGAACAAGCAACAAACATGGAACAAGCAACAAACATGGAACAAGCAACAAACATGAAACTAGCAACAAACATGGAACAAGCAACAAACATGAAACTAGCAGCAAACATGAAACTAGCAACAAACATGAAACTAGCAGTAAATATGAAACTAGCAACAAACATGAGACTAGCAAAAACATAAAACTAGCAACAAATGTGAAACTAGCAGCAAACATGAAACTAGCAAACATGAAACTAGCAACAAACATGAAACTAGCAAACATGAAACTAGCAACAAATGTGAAACTAGCAACAAACATGAAACTAGCAACAAACATGAAACTAGCAAACATAAAACTAGCAACAAACATGAAACTAGCAAACATGAAACTAGCAACAAACATGAAATAGCAACAAACATAAAACTAGCAACAAACATGAAACTAGCAAACATAAAACTAGCAACAAACATGAAACTAGCAAACATGAACTAGCAACAAACATGAAACTAGCAAACATGAAACTAGCAGCAAACATGAAACTAGCAAACATGAAACTAGCAACAAACATGAAACTAACATACATAAAACTAGCAACAAACATGAAACTAGCAAACATGAAACTAGCAACAAACATCAAACAGTACTCACATCCAAGACACAGAAGCGATTACTTACATCTCAGACACTGGTCTGTTAGAGCTCCGGTTATTGGATCGAAGTTCAATGGTGTTGTCCACATCATCATACACTTCTTGCTCTTCAGATGCCTTGATGTAGTTGCCAACATCATCATACAACTCCTCATTGGCATTTTCTGCAAAGGCAAGCCCAAGCCGATGTTTTAACTTTTAAAGAAAGTTGCAGTTTTCAGTGATATGATTCAATATTATTTCTTATCTGACAAGATGAACTGTGTTCTAAACTGGCATCGTTGGCGATTTCTTTCTCTAGCAGATGTTCCTAGAAATTTTGATCAAATAGTTAACACTCAGGAAGTTGAGGATTACTGAAACCATGGCAGTCAAGTGCAAAATCGGACAGACGAAAAAAGGGCCAAACACAAAAATGCAATTTTAAACTTGAAAAACTAGAAAAGAATATAATGCAAGAAGTTAAGTCATGTATATAAATGCAAGAGATTGTTCAGTTTTTATTATCTGCTGAAACAGAGTTTATTTGACCAGAAAATTGTAAAAATCATACACTCTTCCAAACAATAACGGACAGGGGATGATCTCACTGTTGACTTTGTATAATCATGGAACATTCAATGCCATTCAATATTTTTTATCAAACAACTTTAGAAGTATGTTCATTTACAGGTGTGTGCAATCACAACTGTTTTTCTTTTTTAGCTTTATACAGCATTTTTTACAAGACTACACATGCTATGGGAAAATAAATTAAAGCAAAAAGCAAGTTGTGAAAACATATGTAGTGGCAATAACTATAAACGGTCAAGTATCAGTCAACATTTTGGCAGTGTTTTTTTTAGCTGAATAATGCAGGCACCAAATCCTGCCAAAGGACATCTTAGGCCGCCTCCGTGGTGTAGTGGTTAGAGCGTCCGCCCGGAGAGCGGAAGGTCGCAGGTTCGATCCCCGACCACGTCATACCAAAAGACGTTAAAATATGGTACTTGTTGGTCCCTGCCTGGCGCTCGGCATTAATGGGTACAAGGACTGGTCGGCTTGGAGTCAGTATACCGTGTCTGAGTGGGGTATTCATGCTTCACTGCGGCATGGTGTCTCAGTGACCTAGCACTATAAAACCAGCTTAAGTCTGGGCTATTACAAGCAGTCGCACATACACATACACATGCATGCACGTCGTCATATGAGTTAAATATTCTCAAGCACGACGTAAAACCCAATTTCACCTCACCTCACCTCACCAAAGGACATCTTGAAGCTTGAGAGTCATAGTTTGCAGTTGCACGTCATTTCAATGCACACCAGAGCACCATATCTCTTTATGAGATTGGTATACCTGCCTCAATTCAACCCAAGATTGGCAAACCATGAGTCACCACCATGGCACAAGATCACGTTCTTCTGGACTATCATCTGCTTTATCAACAAGCTACTGCCCAAACATTTGCAAGACAATTGCCTAACTTGTGGAAGGTATTGGCGCAAGCAAACAAAAACAATTGACCTAGAGGACAAGTATTTGTCCTTGTATAGAGATGTTTCAGAAAATTGGTACATCCACCAAATTTTTCAACGTCACCTTGTTCCAATTATCAACGCGACACAACCCATTTTTCGTGTCACTGTTGTCTTCCTTTCATAATTCGACCCATGAAGATAAAAATTGGTCTTCAGCAACCCATGCTTGTCGTAAGAGGCAACAAACAGGATTGGGTGGTCAGGCTCGCTGACTTGGTTGAAACATGTCATCGTATCCCAATTGCGTAGATCGATGGTCATGCTGTTGATCACTGGATTGTCTGGTCCAAAATCTATTATTTACAGACCGCCGCTATATAGCTGGAATATTGCTGAGCGCGGCGTAAAACGTAACTCACTCACTCTGTCCTTCATAATTCAAAATCCAATATCTTGCAATGGTCTTGCAGATATCAAATCTGGACCTGATAGATCACCTATGGGATGAACTCAATAGATGTGTACATTTACATCAAAATATGCCCCTGACATTTGCAGAACAGGCATGCGTGTTCAGAAAGAATGGTGGACAATTCCACTGGACTGAATCCATGGACTTCTTCATTGTGTACCAAGGAGCTGATAACAGTACATGGTATTCATCCTGGATACTGATCAGAACATCTCTCATGTGACATGACAATCAGGAATTGCCATTATGTCCACAAAACGTGAATATTATCATGTCAATCTTCATCCTTGTATCAATCAAATTAAATCAGATATGCACATTTAAATAAACAGTAAAATTCATCAAAGTTAGCCTATGTGCTTCTTTTTTGTTTGAAGTGAGTGAGTGAGTTTGGTTTTACAACGCTTGTAGCAATGTTCCAGCAATATCGCAGCGGGGAACATCAGAAATGGGCTTCACACATTGTACGCATGTGGGGAATCGAACCTGGGTCTTTGGCTTATGAGTGAACGCATTAACCACTAGGCTTCCCCGCTCCCCTTTTGTTTGAAGAGTGTATTAATGGATCCCGTAGTACTAAATATACAATGGCCAATTTTGATACTTACTGTATTCCTCGAAAGCTTTAATGTACTCTGCTATAATATCCTTCACATTTGAGCCAAGTAGTTTGAGTGGTTTGATAGGTTTGAGGTCAGTGGTAATAATAGATGACTTTGGCAACTTTTCGAACTTTTTACCATCGCCATTTCGTATCACAATAGTCTTTGAGTGTGTTACACGCTTAGGAATGTCGGAAGATGGGCTCTTTGGTATGTTCATAAGAGGGGTGGAGATTTTCCATCATCTGGTGATCGTTGACGTGGACTTATTGTGATTTGTTTTGGAGCTGTATCCCCCGTAGATGTGCGTCGTAAAAACGCCTTTGGGTCAAACTTTTGCCCCGAATCAGGTTCCGATGATTTGGTGGATGGTGAAGAAGGTGATGTAGGTGTTGGTTTGGGAGCAGTCCCATTGACAGGCTTCTCCTCAATGGTCACCTTCTGAAGTCCAGCAGCAGAAGGTGAAGGACTTGTACCTCCAAATTTATTTGGAATGTTAACTTTGTTGCTGCTCTGTCTTTTCCATGCAGGAACATTGGGAACATTTTGGTTTTGGTCAGTTTCAGGTTGAGAGTCTTTTCCTATCGTGGGAGTCGGCTTCTTCCAAGCTGGTGTTGTCTTCTCTTGTCCTACTGGAGCTCTTTTCCAGGGAGGAGTGGATGTGTTTGTGACTGTCTTGTTTTCATCAGCCTTCTCAGAAGGCGAAGTTGGTTTTTTCCATGAAGGCGTTGTCACAGTCTTGTTTGGTTCATTTGTGTCTTTGTTCACAGACGTTGGTGATGGTTTCTTCCAGGAAGGAGTTGATACTATCTTACTTGGATTATTTTTGTCTTTCTCGACAGATGTTGGTGACGGTTTCTTCCATGAAGGAGTCGTTGCTGTCTTACTTGGATCATCTTTATCCTTCTCCACAGATGCTGGTGACGGTTTCTTCCATGAAGGAGTCGTTGCTGTCTTACTTGGCTCATTCTTGTCTTTGTCCACAGACGCTGGTGATGGCCTCTTCCATGCAGGCGTGGTCTTGTTGGTAGGTGAAGGTTCAGAGGACTGTGGACTTTCAGGTTTCTTCCACGAAGGTTTTCCCACATTGGTGCCTCCTTGACCAGCATCTTCTCGCATTGCATGGAATTTGGCAAGTGCTGGTGGCATGGGCTTATTACCCACAGTTGGTTTAGGACCAAACATGGCTATCTTGTCTTTTACTCCCTGTACTGTAATATTTGAGATTGAAGTCCCATCGTCATAGATTTCATCATCATTTACATCGCCCTGCGAAAAGAAAAACAACACACTTACAAAATGATGACATGGGATTCACTGTGTACCATGAAACATCAAGTTTTGGACTTATTTTTCCATAATCACTTAGCAATCTTTGCAATCATTCTGAACGACCTGCAGAAAATAGTCAAGCTTAACATGAAAATGTTCAATATTTCTCTGACCCAGCAGAGCACAGATGAAGACTAAGTGAGTTGTCAACCTGTATCTACAATAGGAAGTGTGAATTCGAAGCCTTAGTAAAGCTTTACAAACATTTTAGGTTCGGCATATGGAAGACATTTCCGAATCTGACACATCTATGACACAAAAGATGATGCAATTCCCTGTTCTGGCTTAAATGACAAGCCTTTGAATGAATTTGTGATGAATGCCACCATTTTCACAAACTCCTTTGATGGTGGTTTAACAAACACATGCTCTTGATTTAGTCTGAACTATACAATGAAGTTTTCTTTTAGAGAATGTTTTACCCACTTAAATATATTGACACTACTTGATATCCTTTTTTATATCACAGCGACAAGAAGGGTACATTTCTGTCAGTAAATTTCTCATCAGACAACCTCCCCTTCATACCAACCCTGGGTCAACCAACCATTTTCTTTATTTCTCCACGTTTTAGATGCACGGCCATGTTCAATGTCCACAAGGCTGCTTACAGGTATATGATCCCTGTTTAGAACATGGGTCAACATCCTGCTCTGGACCTGCCTCTCATGACCTCATCAGGATGTATAGCAGTCACTAACATGACCAGGAAAACTTTGAGAGTCAACAATACATGATCAGTATCCCAGAATTAGTGATAGCATGCTTCCTCATCAAGCTGAACTTCAGGTGATAGTGTCAGTTTGCTTGTGTGCTTGTTTCTTGTGGTGCTCAACTGATATGATGGTGGTTTGCGATCTGTGAAGACTGGATCAGGCAATCCAGTGACTGAGACTATGACCATCGAGCTACTTAAGCAATGTATATGTGATTTATGTAACCTAAGACATTTAAAAAATTTAACTTTGAAACTATTAACATCATCACATCATTAACCATATAAAATAATTAACATTAGGCCAGACCAATTTTATTCCTTGTTTTACCGATCCTCCGGTCAGTATTTTTTCAAGAATAAGAAAACATTTTTTTTAATTTTGCCTGCTCAAAAAATAAAATCATCATGTTTTTATTGGCCAAAAACGTAAACTTGCCCCCCAAAATATTTGTAATTGTTTTTCGCCCCATATACACTTCATAAATTGCCAAAAATAAATACTTTGGTATTTAAAAGGAATATTACTTTCACTGGTGATTTTGTTTTTGTTTTTTTCCCTCCTGCCTTTAGGTTTTCTGAGGACAAAAATCCTTAAAACAAGAAATAAAATTGGTCTGACCTTAAGAGTACTTCACTCTATACTAACATCAATTTTTAAAACCAACAGTTGTGTTTTATTGATCTGCCACTTCCTAACCTTTTTTGGAATTTACTGATGTAATGAAAAGCATGTTTGTTATCATGGTTAGAGCCTGAGGCAATTAACCTAGTGGGAAGTCACAGTGAAAATTTACCGGGACATACCATCCCCACTCCCCAGGTTCTCACATGAATTCTGACATTGTTTAGCCCTCAGGTAATGTTTGTTGAAGATTATTACCATAAATAATAAATTCTATATATACATCGCCAAGGAACAAGCAGTCACAAATAAGCTTGCCTCTATCTGCAGTTGACACTTACAAGTGGTTCACCATGGTATAACTTGTTATGAGCCAGGAATGAATTATTCTGTTCCTAAGCATATATTTAATACCCAATACATAACATTGTTACTTAGAAAACCAAATGATGAAACAAATTGGCCCAAGTCTAGAATATGTGGCAAGTCTATATTACCTCTGAAAATGAAGCAAGTCCTTTTTATAACATATTATTATATATTTTACAAACCATTTTTTCTGTAAAACATGTTTATTTCTGAGACTAGATTTGAGTCTATAAATACCGCATTCAACATATATATTTAGCGACCCCTCCCTAATAAGCGTCCCTTATTAGAAATACACAGCTTGCAGAATGCTCTCCACTCCCAAAATTCATAAATGTTCTTCTTGTCAGGTATACATGCTCAGTTAATGTTATTTTTGGCAAGGCTTTCAGTTGCTTAACAAGCATGTTGGGTCCTTTAGACACGTGGTATATGAATTCCTTTCGACATTTTGGAATGGATACCTGTTGACTGACTGATTTATGTGATTTTAAACCTCTTCCTATTAATGCCTCCCTTCCCTTGGTATCCTTATTAAATAAGCACCCCTTTCCAATTTCATTAGCTAAATATGTTGAATACTGTGAGCATGTATGTACCTCTTTCAGGACGTTCATGTATATTTATTATCAGGGCTCCAGATAATTTTTCATGATCAGGAGTACGTACTCCTTATTTTTTCAATATAGGAGTACTGGAAAACAATAAGAGTACATTTGGAGTACTGAATGGAATGTCATGGCGTATCAGTAATCTTGGGTTTCGTTTCATATATGCACTACAACATTGCTACTCTTGTGTAAACAGGTCAGTAAACAATAAAACAATACTTTTTCACATAAATACATCTGCAAATGATTCTGAAACCGTACACCATTGCTGTGGTCCGTATCTGCTACGTTTTTAAAATTATTTCCTACCTTATCGTGCTTATGTTATATCCGTAGCCCTTATCTGGAGCCCTGATTATACTTACTTATATCTGTATAAACTTCTTTGAGCTATAATCATGATAATGATAATCAAGAAAGAAATTATAAGACATCTTTAGTTGTAGAGTATCTTAATTTCATTCCCCCCTAACTCCCATACCAGTACAAGACGGGTCAAGCATTTAACAAGACAGTGTGATGACAAGCTGTGGAGATATTACTGACAACAGTCAGAAAGGGGAATAACCTAGCAATGTTCCATGACACTCATGGTAGGCCTTAAAGCAAAATAGTCCCACCCCATCCCTCTCCCTTCAAGCTGTTTACCCTCCTAACCATACCTTCATAATATCTCTTAAAATAGGGTTTTTTATTAATTATTTTACCACAGACCTACCGATTTTTAGAAAAAATGGAAATCAGCAAAAAAGTTTTCAGAAGACAACCTTTTAAAAATACAAATATATTTTTACAGAATTTTTTCATCAACACTATTTCTACTTGTGTCAACTTTCAGAACATATGAAGCAGGCAAGGAACCATGTGCACGCTATCATATGTCAATATCCTCTCCATCAGAGCGCAAAACGCCATTGTTCTTATTACTTCCTGGTCGGAGGAGGATGTCATGTTGAAGTACAGACTCAAACAGCCACCTAGGTCAACACGCAGTAAACATGATATACACTGCTGTACCACATGACCTAGTGTAAGTTTAGACATGCTTTGTGAAACGATTCATTGTTTGTCATGCAGCATACATACACCATACAGAGACGTGCTCTATTGGTGTAGGATGTGTTCTGCGTACCGGGCAGGTAATCAGACATATTTGGAGTTGACATGACGTGTGACAGACTTGCATGAATTGCTTGTTTCAGGGAACGATTGACTGCATTCCACTTATACAGCAAATATATGTAATTTGATATGAAGACGTACTTGTACATGTTGAAGGGTACTTAAATGTGTTAATAGAAACTATATCTCATTAACCAATTGTAGGTGTGTTGGACTGCATGATTATTTCAAGAGTAATATTAAAGGGAGTTTGGAGTTACTAGAGGTTAGCCAAGTGGTGGCAGTGTTGGTTGGGGTGATGTCAAAGACCTGTGTTTGTTGCCCTACATGGGTATAAGGTGTCAATCCAACACTTTATGACACCACTGTTAGGATCTAGGGTGGGAACCCAACTCTTTAAGACAGCACTGTGAGGATCTAGGGTGGGAACCCAACTCTTTAAGACAGCACTGTGAGGATCTAGGGTGGGAACCCAACTCTTTATGACAACACTGTGAGGATCTAGGGTGGGAACCCAACTCTTTAAGACAGCACTGTGAGAATCTTATGACAACACTGTGAGGAACTAGGGTGGGGACTGTGAGGGTGGGAACTCT